AAATCGCAAAGTATTTGAACAGGCTGGTCTTCGTTAGCGGTCTTGAGTTGGCTACTGGCGCAAGGGTGGAACCAGACCTGTCAGAGGGAGGAAGCTCCTACTATTTCGAGAAGTTCATCTACCTGATCATGATTTTGGCGGCGATCTTCCTGGTGTGGTGGTTGAGGAGGAAGTTCAAAGAGCTGGAACAGAAAATCGTGATCTTGGAGAGTGAAGTGGAGGCGCACAAATACAGCACAAGGAGCTCTTTGAATGAGCAAGAGAAAGTATGGTCAATGCAGATGGACTACACCCAGCGGATCCACCGAGCGCTGATCTACAGAGGAGGCTTTGTGGAGAACCACTCTATCCGTGATGGATTGGAGTGGGATACCCTGCACTACATCGAGAAGGTGAATCGTCGGCATGAAGGATTGCACCTGAAAGTGCAGTGGGATGTGGTCAATCAGAGGAGAAGAGAGCAGGGAGAGTCGAGGATTCCCAATCGATTCTCACCGGATGATCCTGGATCGCCAAGAGATGATGGAGGAGATGGACCAGATGGAGAAGATGATGATGGTCGAATGCTGAGTGGTGACACAGCCACAATTCGACTCGACAATGGGGAGGTGGTTGAGGTGCCAGTTGAGTACGTGGAGATTGCTCAAGAAGTGGCGCAGGCAGGAGGTTCACCACCTGAGCCGGAACCCAACCCAGGTGATGAAGAAGATGAGGACATGGAGAGCACAACTACTCCTGAAGTCCAGCAAGGACCTCCTGATGCATGGCAACCTGAGCCGATCGAAATCCCTGAACAGAAGTTCAACTTTTTCAACAGGCCCTACAACAGGGCGGACTTGAAGGCCAGACAAGAGTTGGCCAAAGTTGAGGCAACATGGTATCATGCCATGAGGTCAAATGACCATGACCTGGCCCGAGAAATGTATCAGGTCATGGAGGAATGTTTTTCGTTCATGGACCCTCGACCAGACGAGGAGATCCACTCATGAGATCAGGAAGTGAGTGAGACGACTCACATCCTGAAGGAGGAGTGAGAAATATACGTTGAAGTACTCACAACTCCATACATAGCATATCAAAGATATGTTTGTACCGCAGACCGCTGTTTTGGAGACAAAGGAGCTTTCCGCAGTTTCCTTTGATCCACCGTGGAGTCTATAATTTATCCACCAAACGTCAAGTGGAGTACCAATTTGCTTCTTTGGCGATTCATGACCTTTGATCTGTGCGTCACTACCCGGTCAGAGGGCTTCTGACAGGAGCAGAGTCATCATGACTTTCTAATGATATTTTTGGGGACAACTCTTGCCTGCGCACCCAGCGAAATCCACCTCCTGCAAACCCAGCCGGCAGGTCCGCCGATGGATACAGCCTTTTGCACCAATTCGCGGTCGACTCCATGCAAGATTGGCCTCTGGACTGGCATGTCTGCGGGCGGATTGGTTCTTCAAAATGAGGGCCCAAGGGCAGCAGATCCGCTCCTTTCCCCCAAAAAACAACTTGTTTGGTCTCGAGACACGGTGTTTGGAGATTGCAGGATGCTTGGACATGTTAGAGAAACCATCTCACCAAACAGGTCTCACCAGACCACGATCTCATGGCTTCAGTCCCTCCGACTCCGTGGATTGCGACCGACCGCTGACGCGGTTTGGGGCATCAGCGGTCCGTCGAATCGATGGTTTTGGTGTTTTTTTGTCATGTCCTTTTCTTGTACAGCAAGGTAGTTGCTTTGTACAGCAAGCAATGGTTGGATAGATTTCACATCACATCCAGCCGCTGGTTGTTTCCGTTGTTGAAAGCCACCTGGAGAAGCTTCCATTTGGTACCGGCCAATTCGTTTTGGAATGGTCCAATATGTCCAGCAGGACGCTGGTCATGGAAGTCGAAATCCGCTGAGGAGTGTGTAACAACTCACCTGCCGAATGAGGCTTCATCCCCTTCATGGACAGCAATGACCAAGCTTGTGGCGCCTCTCCTGCGCTCGCACAACAGCTTCGCTGGAGCTGGTCCAACTAGGATGTTGGTTGCAGAATGTTTTGTATCCCCACTGTTTAGGTCATCACTTTTAGGATTTGCTGAGAGGTCTCCACGTTTTCAATACACCTCCTTTGCACCTACTTGCCTGGCTTCCCTCAAGCACTTGGTGCCATGTGGCATGAATGTATCTCAGCAGTTTGCAATTCAAAGAACTTCAAGAGCCTTGGTATCCCTGTGGATCGTCCTTCATTTCTGGCTCATCAGCTTATGGAACCCCAGGTGCTGGGCAGAACTGCGAGCAAGCTCCCAATGGGCAGCCAATGTGCAAGTGCATTTGGGGAGCGCAACACTGGGGGAAAAGTGGGGTGTTTCAATTGGCCAATGATTCATCATCGGTTGGCGTGTACTGCGGGGCGACCCCTTGACCCATGTCAACACACGTAGGAGGAGTCAACCGTTGGCAACTGGTAGAATTTCTATTAAAAGCTATTTGTTTCTAATAGCTTCTTGTTACTACTAGTAAGGCACTTGTTACTAGAAGCGATGCACTTGTTACTGGTAGAATTTCTTGAAATTTCGGATGGATCAATGAACCAACTGTGGACGACCGCGTCATTGTCATTGTTGTTTCGTGGATGCTTTCCAGTGCCTTCCAGGAGCCTGCAACAATGGCGGCTGTGGCAGATAAAGGCTTTGCACCGAAATGATTCAGTGAGATGCTTCTGGACAAGGACTTGATTTTCTCAGTCTGTAATTGCATTGATATGTTTCTTTTAGATTCCTTTTGTATTCCGATCAGTTTATTTGCGATGAGGGAGCTTCTACGAGTCTTGGAGATTGGTGGGCTTGGTGTTGTTTAATGCTTCATGGGCCCCGGCCGAAATCACTCATCAGCTTTGTTGGCTTGCTTTGTGACCTGCTTGCGAGAGGACAGCAAAAGACTGCTTCAAAGAACATCCACTCATACAATGAGCACCTTTCGCACGTGAGAGCGTGAGCTTTAGAAAGAAGATCTGGAGAAAATGACACCGGAGCCCGCCGGAGCGGTCGCTCGCTGTTTACACCGCACACTGCGATGACTTCGCATGTGGACTGAGCGAGAGATGGCGAGAGGTGAGATGAGGTGGACGTCGATCGAGGGTGACCAGCGATGGATGTGAATCAAGCTACTAATAACAAGGACACAAATACATAGGTGGAGGCCATCGCAAGTGGCTTGGAGGCCATCGCTACAACCGTAACAAGCAGCTATAAGAAGCTGCTAGGAACAAAGGGAATCGCTACTAGGAGCAAGGACGCTACTAGTAGCTCCTGGCCTTACTACTAGTAACAAGAAGCTACGAGAAGTCGATGGATTGCGATTCGAGAAGTCGTCCTGTTCTCAGTGACGTGAAGTGACGCAGGCCATGTTCTCACGAGAAGATTTCTCAGGCGAGGTTTCGAAGCTTGGAGCTTTGGCTACCCGCATCCCCAATAGCATCCAATGGCGTCGCCCCAGAAGGTCCCAGAGATGAGACAGGTTCTGAGAGGCAGAACAGTTCAATGGTTGGTGCAGGTTGAACACGTATTGCTGACACGGGTGCCGTTTTGCTGGCATAAGAAAGGCACAGGTGTGGGGTTCAATTCACTTCAGCCCTCGATAGTGAGCTTGGCAGACCCACAAAACCCGACCCCTCGGTCTCGGTGTCCGGATCCGTCGCAGGTGCCATTGAAGAGCATGGGTGTCACGGGTGTGAGGCCATTTGCGCTCACAGCCGAGATCGCGTGGAGCATGTTGATCTTTTGTATTTTTTGTGCTGGATCAGTTGTGTACATGTTGTGTACCTGGTCAAGAAAGGGAGAGAGGTCAGTGAGAAAGACAAACAACCGTTGGAGATCTTCAATGCCGCCGTTGGAGACAAGAATCCTTTTCGTTTTATGATGTGTTATGTAATATACATTAATATAAACATGTTTCAGGTCTGGCAGGCTTGGGTGAACATGAGTTCATTTCTGCCATAGGTTTGAACTAACGAATGTTTTGGCTCAAGTGCCTTGGCCAAAATAGCTTTTGTTCTCTCTTTTCCCCCCCAGCCCACCCTGGCGTAAGGGCCCCCTTTGGGATCTCCCTTACCCTTGAAGGGCTAGCGAGCTAGCCTGGGGCTTGCGCAGGGAACTGCGATCTGTCACAGAGTTAGCCGGAGTGACCGCCTTCCAATTTTAACTTACCCCAGGAGGGGGAGTGTTTTCCGGAGCGACCGGAGGTAAACCACTGTAGGTCTGACTGTGACAGACCTGCCAGTGCAGGTAACCCAACGCAATATTCTGCAGAGGATTGCAGGTTGACGACAACACTTGGCAAGTTGACTGTGTGAAAAAGAGGGTGTGCCTACCGTAGCGACGATACACAACCTTGGACAGAAATGTACACTCAGAACATCTCAGAACATATCAACAGGCTGCTCTAACGGATTAATATGAAATGGCAACAGCGTAGTTGGTTCAATGACCTCAGCAGTATTGATTTTATTGGGAGGCCTGCTCCTTTGGATGGATGGCAAGTTCATGAACGCGCCCGATGGTGCGATCCCAAGAAATCCCACAACCTAACATGACAGCATCTACTAGTGAGGAATAGCAGTTCAATGTCATATACTCGCTGCAAAAAACAGACGACCAGCCAGATGCGAATTTTGTCGTCCTTCCGCTCCGATCTCGGACGAGTGCACCTCGCTGAGGTTTCGTGTCATGGCTACAGCCTTAAGCATCCGACGACGTCCAGAGGCCTGGACCTGTGGGCGACTGTGGGCCTGCTTTGAATCACCAGGATCGGAGTTGGACAGAGACTGGAACAGTGTACACATCCTGAGATGAAAGTCATGACGTCTCCACCTGAAGAGGTGGACGCCCCCTTAGCTGGAGAGCTTCCCTTTGGCGAGGTCTTTCAGGCGCAGTGAGTGCTAGTTGTTGCGTGGGAACAGGGAAACCCAATTGGATCATCTCTTTTAGAAAACACCTGGACTAAAACATACGTTGCTTAGACCACACATACACGACGTGTTTTGTAAAGAGTGCCATGAAGGTGTCAAAGAACATCAACGGTATTTTCCTGCCACTGTAAGCATCCAAAAGTAACCAGAGCGGTTCACGTAATGAAGTATATATATAACATATAATTAGTTGGAATCTGTGACTTTAGCCCTGAGTACTACCAGAGATAGGACACCCCAGGTTTATGGCACCAAGTGCTGTGAAGCGAAGTTAAGGCCGTGTCCTCAACTGGAGAAGATGGTTTCAAGTTCCTGGAACTTTCTCGAGGCGCCACAAACCCTGTGGGCGCCTGTGACGGTCGAGTCTCATCGAGACACGGTGGATTGGCGAAGAACGAAGTTATTTGCCTTGCATCATAGTAGTAACAGGTGCCACGCTAGTAGTAACAGGTGCCTTACTAGTAGTAACAAGTGCATCGCTATTAGAAACAAGTGCCTTACTAGTAGTAACAATGTTTGCTATCATTGGCAAGGAAGGTGTCATGGACTAGATGACTTAGATCAGATGATGATCCAGAATCGCCTGAGCCCTCAGAGCAACACCTGACACTGGAAGGTAAGACCGACAAACTTCTAGCCATGGTTCATTTTTTGATGGATGCACGATGATGATCGATGATGGATGCCACTGGCTCTGATGTTTCTCAGGTGCTCGGTACATACCTTGGTTTTGTGCATGCGAGCTACTTTTCTTCCCTCAATTCTGTACTACATTGTGTAATTCTTGTGTCAGGATTCTTGTGTCATTCTTGTGACTGTAGTTATATAAGTGAAGTTCATATTATTGTGTCGTACTTCTTCTTATGACATCTCAAAACCGACCAAGACATGTGTCCTGCTCGAAGAACTGAAAGACCTTTTGTGTAGGCCGGGGTTGGGTCTTCAGCGATGCTCGGGTTGCAGCCTCAGAGTGGGAGACAGGAGACAATCAGGAGGCAATCAGAGGTCTTGCATGGCATGGCTCAACTCTAAACATTCAGTTCAATAGTCATAGTTAGTCCATTTGCGCTTATTTTGGGAGATTCCCCAACTTTTCCAATGCAAAGCTTTCCGTGTCTCCAGTTATTCCATGCATTGACTGCGTTGGCTCCAGACTCCCTTTGTTCCGCCAGGATGCGGTTGGTTCATGTTTGTTCCACACAACAAGACGTTATTCAAATTGGTACCAGGTGCAGCCAGTGCTGGTCATTGATGAGACTGCTGCTCCAGTGCCGGCCACAGAGGGAGGGTTCAGTAGCATTAGCATCATGGAGCAGCTGCTGGCTGCTCGCGCTCCATCCTTCATTCAGGGCACGCATTCAAGCAATGGCCGATGGCAGTACAGAAAGTCCAACTCAACTCCAGCCTCAATCATTTGAATCTATGCCAGGGCAAAGATGATTTGCAAGAACTTCTAAGATGATTGACAGAACTGAGAACAAATATGCAGCTCACGTCCTTGACTCAGCTTCACTTCTTTCCTTGGGCGGCATCGGACCGTTGGACAATCTGAAGCTTGCTGGATTGGCCAAGCCCCACGAGCCAACCGTTCAAGAATTTGTCGTCGGTGCAACAGTGAAGTTCGGGCCGCACATCGCCATATTCTCTCCAACACTGACATGGCAACCCACCCGCACGCCATGATTCCTGGAAGATGATTTTTGTCTTTCAGGTAGTTGCTACATTGGTTTAAGGCTTAAGGGAGGAAAGTGGATCGGCTCACTCTTGCAAGGCTTCTTGTTTGTTCTTCTTGCAACTTCTTGATCGACCTCTCGATTGAAGGAAGCAAAATTAAGCAAAGCTGGAATCAGAGAGGTTTTTTTTCCAGGTCGCCACAGGAAGCACCCGGAGCACTTGGTTTGGCACAGCGCGGAAGGTGTAGCATGCTAGAACGATCCCATATAATATATATATATATATATTCGTAGAAATGTAGAATCTAGAAATGTGTGTCCTTTGCATTCAGCAGGTAACTGCTTCAGCTTCTAATTGGAAAGCCTTGCAGTGCCAATCGTACGTACAGCATGTTGAAAAGACCTCAAAACGCTCTCATACTGCAAATCATGGCAGTGTTTGGCGCACAGGTTGCTTCTATTGATGAGGATGAGTTCAATTTCCTTTTTGAGAGCGGCAAATTTGTAAGAGATCTCAAGGGATTACAAGTCGCTCAGATCGAACACTCAAGGTTTCGACAAAAACTCTTCAGGGAATGAAGGAATCGGTGAGTTACAGGATGAAATGCCTTTGATCCTGCTACAGTCATTGCAGAGCCTGCAGCTCGTGATACTGAATCTTTTCCCTGGTGAAGCTATGGAATCCGCAAGTGTGACTGGATGTGCAGAAAACGACACGCTGCTCCAAAGACCACACGACCCCAACACAATGACATGGTACCGAATACACAACCTCAGGCCCTCTGTGGCGAGACCGGTTTTAGTAGGACTTTTTGCACCCAAAATGAAGGCCAGAAATACACCCGAAAAAGCATGAAAAAGCAGCTTATTTTTAAACATTATTTTGCCTTGGACAAATCAATGGCCAACCCCACGCCCAAGCATTTGTCAAGAGATGCATGAGACCGAAACGATTGGATAGCTTTGTTCTATGCAGCTGTTAATTAGTCAGATTGGGGCCGTTGAGGAACTCAATAGCAGATTATAGTTTCTTACAGTAGGGAGATGGCGACCGGTCACGAACATGTTCACCTTACTTGATGCTTTGTTTTGACTTTGTCAGTTAAGTGACCCATGGGTCTTGATTGAAAGGTGGAGTTGTGGTACTCCTGTGACTCCGGTCGTGATTTGGAGTCACTCTTTAAGGGATAGGTTCCTGTGTCCACATTTACAACTATTGGTGGATGCTGATGCGCAAGTCGATGAACCAGCAGATGACAGTTTCACAGCGGCGATGGTAGCATCAACAACCGTGTGAATGGGCACTTAGAAGTTGTGCAAGTGTTGGTTGAGGCTGCTGCTGGAATCGTTGCACCATGCAGCCGTCCACAATGACTTGGAAGTGGTGCAGATGTCGGCCGAGGTTGACGCAAAAGACTGATGCAGCAGCCGAAAGCGGTTTGCCAGCCTTGTGGTGTGCAGACTGCTTTTCATGGGCACTTGGTAGAACGATTGTTCATCGAGGTTGGTGCTGGCATAGATGCCGCCACAGATGATGGTTTAACAACTTTTCATTATGCAGCTACTTTTGGCCACTTGGACTCAATGGCTTTCCAGTGTGCAGCTCTAAACGGGCAGAACGATCTTGGCAAGCTTTGTGAGTGGTGGAGGTTCGTGCTAAAGCACGAATGCAGAAGCAGATGGCGATTCAACAGTTTTGCTGTAAATGACTTGGATTTGGCATAAGTGTGTGTGGAATTTCACGAAATGCTGTTCGGCTGTTCTACGGCCTGGATTTCACTACCGCCATGACTTATGTAGTGTAAGAAAATGGTGGCCTTTGCACAAGAACCATCCACCAGCAGCTGACAATGCATTTTTCTTTCACTTGCCTTTGCCCGTTTACGTTTGGGTTTGCTGCGAATCCTCACCGAAACTGACGGTAGAGGCCAGCTTCTGAAAACAAGCTTCTTTGGCCCAGGTTGCGATCGAGGCTGAAAGGAGCCTGCGCAAGGGAGAGCGTGTCAACCCATGGCAGTGGGGGGAAATTTAGCTACCACAATTTAAGGCATGAAACCCAGCTGCCTAAGATTGTCATTGAGCAAGGCCTTGAGGCTCATCCACTCTGCAAGATTTTTATTTATGAGAATGACTCTCGTGGATGTGCGATGTCGATGCTCCTATGTTTTTTTTTGGCATTTGCAGCTTCCATTTTAAAGCACATTCTTGTCTCATCAATCTCAGGAACAGGTGTTCAGTTCTCATAATATTGGCGATTGGCCGCTCATCAAGTTTCCAGAAAGCCTTTCTGCTTGAACACCACAGAGCTTTTAACAGCTGGTACTTCCAACCGCAGCTTCGCCAACTGGCCATGTCGAAGTTCGATGAAGCGGATCCCAACTGGTTCTGGAATTGGGACTCTCAACTTGCTGCCAAGTCTAAGGCAAGGGAAACCGGGCGAGTAACACGGGTCGAAAAAAGTCGTTTGGTTCGGATTCTGCAGCGCAGCTCCAAACAAACTGCCATGCATTTGTATGCAGTCTCAGTTTCAATCACCTACAGCCTACAGGTGCTTACACAACTATATCTGGCAAGACTAATACCTTTCTCAAGAAATACCGATACTGGTACTGATAGTATTGATTTGGCAGTTTGCAGAGCTCTTTTTTGAGATCCAGCACAGAGGGAACCGCCAAGAAGTATGAGAACAGCTGAAAGTGTCGTTTGCAATTCATTCACATTGCACAACTTGTCATTGTGATGCTTTGTTTCGATTTGCTGTTCTTTCTCAACGTGCTGTCAGTGGTTTGGGATGGATGCAAGGCACATGCTGATTTCCAGACGATGATGCGTGACTTTATGGATCCTCAGAGAGAACCTGGAGAAAGAACTCTTCGACCCTTTCCGTTTGGGACAAAACTACCTGCAGGAGGTTTCTACAGTAGTTAGCTACATCACTTGCAGGCTTGACTGGCATTCACGGCCCTTTTTTCATTTGCTTGACATCAGTCGACATTTCCGCCACAGCCAAGGACACAGAAATCCTACCCCACATCGCAGACTGGGAAGAGGCCCAGACAGTGAGAGTTGGCGTTGGGAGTAACAGGCATCGCTATGTCTGATTTTTCTGGATGCAGGGAGCTCTATTGCCTTTTACCAAATCATGGAGACACGATCTACTATGCGCCTGATTTGTAGCAATGGCCTCCACCCTAATAGCGACGGCCTCCAACACCGCAAACATTGTGAAAAGACACCACTTCGTTTAGCCGCTTAGCCCTCGGTGCCTCAGGCGGGTGGCTTCCCTGAGGATTTGACGGCCAAGGCCTATGCAGCAGGTGTCTATGCGGCAGGCCTGCCGAAGGAATATGGTGCCATGGCAAGGCAGTGAGGTTTGGGAAAACGGACATTTGTTGGTTCTGCATGGAGTCAACAAGTTTGATGTTTCTTGATAGATAGATTAGTTAGTTGATGCTCGTAGCTTGCAAGATTTGTTTAATCCTTCGTGATGTTTTTTGCCGACAATTTGTTGATGTTTCTTGCTCGCAAGTCCCCAATATTAGGGTTTAGTGCCTTCGCCTGACTCGGGTCCCACTGGCTGTGAGGACCTGATTTGGGGTGTTGAAACCGCAAGATGGAGGAACCCTGATGTACAGTCATATCGAAGAGCCAAGCAGACCGGTACCACCTGGTGTGTTGGACCTGAGGTGGTACCGGAGAGGAGATGGACCCCTGGCGCCGCTTCATCTACAACGCAGCCCGGCAGAACCCGACAACGGAACTGACAACGGAACCGGTGCGTTGGCAGTTCTGCTGGCCGACTTTTGTTCAAGATCACGATGGATGTCTACTGGGGCAAAGCACTCCACCCCGAGCCGTAAAATAAGGGGAACTGCAGGTCGGGCCCAGATAGATCTTCCAGGATGTCTTGACCATCAGGGGTTGGTGTGTTCTGAAAAGAATTTCATGAAGATCATCGCGTATATAGATTACATAGGTCAAGGCCCTGGACTACGCACCTTAGCAGGTCAAAACCTCTTGAGTTCTGAGGATGAGCTTGGCCGGTCTTGTGCAGGTGGCCTTTGGGCCTCCTTGTTAACCCATGGGATCTCTTTGCCACCAATCCTGGCATTGGGCAGCGAGCAGCAAAAGCAGAAGTATGCCAAGGACTTCGGCAGATGGGCATCTGGTGGTGTTGAGCAGTGCCAGAAACCTCCCGCACCGAGCGACACTGCCCCGTGCGACAGGATTATGTCAGTAGATGGTAGGAGTATGTAGCGATGCCCCAAACATAGTCAATCTTGCGCTGAGCGCACACAGACAAAAACCTCCATTCTGTGGTGTCTCATCGGTGAAGGTTGGGTCGTTTGTCCAAGGCGGAGAGAGTTTGCAAAGGCCTCATGGGCACCCACCGCTGAGGATCATTGAGCCAATCCACTTTCAACCAAGACCATCAGAGACAATCCAAGCTACTTGACTTGTACGCCTTGCTTGGGGGCCTTCGATGTAGCACTGAGCCAGTGGCAGCACACCCGATGGGGTAACAAATAGCTGAGGAAGAAGCTAGATGTGTGCGTATGCGTGCCAGTAGATTGCGTCGGGAGACGGCAAGCACGAGACATTTGTCTTCCCAAGCATCAGCTAGGAAAAGAAGCGTAGTGTGATCAGTTGCTGCGATTCAAGTGTCATGGGCTAAAATGTTGCCAAAGTTCTCATCCTTTCTTCCCCTTCAGAGACACACACTTTCACCTGTCCAGGACATCATCACTGGCGTCAAGCGTTGCTCTTTAGCCATCACAGAGCCCAACGGCGGCTCAGACGTCGCCAACATTCAAACGACCGCGGTTCGGGAGAAGGACGTCTATGTGCCTAGAGGGAGAAGATCCGAGAGAGCCACGGATGGCCCAAGTGGGATGGTCAAGAGATCAACTATGAAAGCGAAACGACATGGCCTCTGCCTGTTCTTGCGTCCTTGTTACTTATTACATAATTTCATATCTTATAGTGCAATATCCATAGAATGAATCATCTAATATGTGGCTCGGATTGGTGAAACAATTCAATTGCCTGGCATTATTTCAAAAAGGTCTGAAGAGTTTTGGTGAGACTCATTGTGGGACCAGCTGCTTGAACTTGGAGTAGATGTCAGAGTGGACAATGCCTCCCTCCGGCTTTGGAGACAAACATTACATTGGCGGCTTTGGGAGGTGGTGACTGGCCAGAAGACGTACATCTCCGGCGGCATGAATGCTGACTACTTCACCACTGGTGTGCGCACTGGTAGCTCTGGCATAGGTGGGGTTCTGGCTTGAGCAAGAGGGGTACATAAGTCACGGATTGTTTTATAGTTGAACTGGTTTTCAGGCAACTTGTTCATTGATTCAAGCGTACACTACTTTTGCAAAAGCTTCGCTGCTCAAGCATGCAAGTTCTCGAACCAGGAGGCATCTCGCTGCTGATGATCCACAGGGACTATCCAGGAGTACAGACCACAAGGCTGAAGACTCAAGGCTCGGATAGCAGGACAACAAGCAGGAGAATTTGACATGTAGATTGTGAGTGATGACACTGTGGCTTCCGGAAGCCTTGCAACATCCTTCTTTTTTTGGATTCTGAAAATTTGGCACTGCCGTTCAGGCTTGTTCATGGGTCAAGAGGACATAGCACATAGCCCATACAACATCGAAAGAATACAGAATCTACAGATGTCCAAGGATTTCCGTTTGCAAAGGCAGTGCTTGGCTGGTTTCTTGAGCAAACGACCAGTTCCAAAGCGTCTCCTCTGAGGCTGGGGCGTAAGCACCACCACCTCCGTTGCCTTTAATGATGTGCGAGTGCCTGTTGAGAACCGCCTCGGGGTGGAGAATCAAGGACGGGTGGAGAATGAGGATCCTGTGGATGTGTCAAGAAGAAAGGAAGATTGAGGATGATTGTGGATCGGAGAGAAACATAGAAACTAAGAAAGAGAAGAACACACAATGCGTTTTCGATTGATTTAACGGCTTTGCAACCTTGTTTCACCTGGCCTCGTTTGCTTTCGTATGTCCTTGACACTGTGGAGTTCATCAAGACGGTAACATGGATGTTTGCCTGCACTGAGCCAAACCAATGTGAAGGTTTCCTGCCCATCATGCTGAACTTCAACAACGAGCGCATGAGCATGGCTTATGCCGCGTGCCGTATGTCGCGCTGCTGTTTGGAAGATGCGATCAGGCAAGCGTTATGTTTGCAGAGCGAAGCGCCGTGAAAGATTCTTGCGCCCAAAGGAGAGTCATGTTCGAGGCCAAGTTCTGATGAACGGTATGGGGTCACGTGCAAGAAGCATGGGGAGGCTGTTCCTCATGAGGATTTCAATCTAGGCTATCGCTTCCCAAGACCAGCGTAATGTAGGTCATGCTGCCGTGCTTCAACATAATCCTTAGGATTGCCTGTGACACTTGATCCAATTTGTAGGGAGGGTACCACATGCGCCGCATGACACGGGTGTTGGGTCAGATGCAACGCTTTATTATCACGTCCAAACCTGCTCCCTAGTTCGAACCATCAGCATTTTGTCCCAGGAATGGTGAAACGTGCAAGCACAATCAAGCACATGAGATGAGTCATGATGCATTGTTCTTTCAGATTCGATCAATGCATTCTGACCTCCAAGAGTCTGGGCACATTCGTCTTTCAGACTAGCTTGGATTTGGCTGCAAGGTTTGCTCGAGTTCGCAAGACCTTTGGAAAGCCCTTGGTGCAACAGCAGGCTGACGGTGTAAGTGTGAAGGGTGAGAGATTCAAGACGGGCATTTCCTGGATTGCAGTGACATCTTGGATTGCTTGGGGCTGTAATTGTAACGATGTCTCATGAGGAGAATTTGACATTTGTGCTTGGCTAGGCATGTGTTTATCTTCCAAAAGTTGAAACTTCTGCCTCCGCACAGACCAAGCAGCTGAAGGCTACACCACAGCATAACACCCACTGAGTTTTCTTCCTTTAATTGAACAAACCAAGTTCTGAGCAAGGTACCGGTAACCCCCTGCTCCCCCTCTCTTTGTTTTTCCAGTGTCCTTTTGTTCTTGTTTGTTCCTTTTTCTATGATCTGTAAAAGTAGATTGACTTTTGATTGACCTGGTAGGTCATCCGCCATAAGATGGCTGAGATGGCACGCCTGATCCTGTCAACTCACGGGTATCCTGGCAAGAAGCTCAATAGGACAACTTGTTAGTAGTTGTTTTTCTCTTCTAGCTTGTTTGGAAGGCACAATGGCAGCGTCAACTTCACTTCCAGTAGTCAGACTTGCTACTCTTGGTGCAAACAAAATTGTTGGATGATGTGGCGTGCAGTTGTGGGGTTCTTGTGCAGGCTGTTGTTTCTGATTTGGGATCATTTGATACCAGTTGCTTCCACGACCAGAGCTGAGTAATTAGCTTCACACTGCTGTGGTGGGCCATTCTGATTTTGGGGGCATCAGGAACGGTCATTGAAAGGCTTGTGCTATTTGCATATCCTTTCTTTCCAAGGGCCTCAAGTCAGCAATTCTTGCTTAGTGGTCCAATCAGCGGAACTCTCTGAACCCCACCTGCATTGCAGTTGTTGCATTGTGGGCAACGACTCATACCACTTAAAACTTCCTTGTGACTTGTGACCCCTTGCAATATATTCGCCTGTGCTGAGAATTCATTCATGCTGATCCTCAAGTCAAGTGCCATATAAGAGTTGTAATAGAAACAACACCTTTCCAAACGGGTGTTTTTCCATCACACTATTTTTCACCGTGATCCACGCACAAACCGTAGTGCAACAGCAGTAAATATGTGGTGACCATGCCGATACTTAGATACTGAATGAGATACTTAATATATAAAAATATATAAATATTTTTTTTTGATTTGGGGGGAATCGCCCGCTTTCTTGTGCTCCTCCTCCTCCTTCTGTGTGCAGTGCAGGGCTTCTCCACGTAGCGACGTAGGGGAGTCTACAACGCCTACGAAACTTTCCGTGTAGAGCCTCCACCCAAGAACATTCCCTGTGGCTGAGAATGTGCCAAGAATAGGTTGGCCTTGACTTTGAAGTATTTTGCGATAAAACAGAGGAACGTTTATTAAGCGCTTTGATTTCTTCCATGGCTAGGTGGATCCAGAAATGATAGCCAGGTTCTCCTCACAAGCCGCCGCCTATGCCTCCGCCTCCCTCAGGTTCTTGGCCTCAGTGACCGAGACCATGGCTGGAGACGACTATGGTCAGTTGGCTGGGAAGGTGGCCTTGGCTAAGGTCCAAGCCACCAAGACCTTGGAAGCCTGGACCAAGCTCAGACGTGGGAAATGGTCAGTGGTCAGAGAGTCTTTTCACCGCAGGCGCTTCACTCGGGTTAAACTGGATCAAAGGGTGATCACTGGATATTACTGTGTGATTCAGAGATTCATGTTTGTTTCTAGATGTCAGTCTGACATGAGCCTTGTTTTTGAGACACTTGAACCACCTGCTCTGTGAAATAGAAGGAAACAGAACTCTAGTCTAGACCGTTTCATAGTGATGGGAGTGTGACCGCACGTTTTCACATGTGCAGTCCACTGGTCCACGATCATCCGTGAAGCCACGTATATTTAAAGATACTTCAAATGATTCTCCAACGTGTTCGGAACAATGAAGGAAATCCAGGGTCCTAAGTATATGAGCCTGCCACATGTAATGGGTGTACACATGTAATTCCACTAAGGAATTCTGCGCCCGCGAAGCCTCCCAGATCTTGGGTGGCCGGAGCTATTTGCGGGGAAACCACATTGGCGGACGCATCGAGCGTTCGTACCGCGAGGCATCCTTGGGCCCTGCGGAGGGAAAACACCGCAACTGATGTGTTATTTCTTTTTCAAAAGGTCCGTTAGAGGAGGAGCAGTAAGCGCAAGCTACAAGTAGCTGGGAAGCAGGAAAGCCCTCGCACCAATGATTTGGTCATGGTGTCTTGGGAAACTTCCATTTGTGTGGGAGAACATGTCATGGTTCCTTCACCTATTTGGCCAATTGCCCCTTCATTTGGCAAAATATGTCTTGATCATTTATATGAGATTTTGTTGGTTTGGCAAGGGTTTCTACGGAATGAATGAATCTACGAGCACATACGAGCACTCATGGCAGGGAAACGCTCCCCAGACATTTCAGGTCCGTGTCTATGCCATTGGTGGTGGCAGCAACTTGGCTGAACCTCTAGAGTTCATTCGTGTGAGGATTGCATGAGTGGAGGAGGGTTGTCACGATCAGTCAAGAGGATGCGTCCAGGCTTGATTGTCCCTGTTCTGGAACTACTTATATAGTACGCTGAGTCTTTTCAGATAGACGGCGAATCTGCGTGAGCTCCAAGTTGTAATTGAACATGAATGGAGCATATACCATGTGGAGCATTCTGAAAAAAAATTGTCCACCAAGATCCAATGACCTACCAGGAAGTTGATCCCACATCATAGGTAAAGAGAACAGTTGATTCCACAGAACTTGGATCTTGGGATTAGAACCGCGACATTGATTATAAAAAAATATACAGAACCAAATCCCAGATGTTGATCGAAAATCTGAGATTCAGGTGAGGAGATCATGCTGGATCTGGCTGCCCGAGCTGCGAAGCTCTGAGCCCGAGCGTCAACGGCAACAGAGCATGTCAGCGGCAACAGAGTTTCAATGGGATTTGCTCATGCAACTCTGTTTCAACAGGGCAGACGTCCTACTCTCATTGACAAGCCAGCCCTGTGCTGTCAAGCTTGGGCATCACCAGTGTTTCAACATGTTTCAACAGTAACAGCCCAATTCAGAGATCGAGCCAAGAACTGATACATATGGCAAACCAATGCAAACCATTTTTGGTTTACTGTCTTAGAATTGCTTTGACCCTCGTCATGATTGTTCATTCATTGGACGAGAGCTTGCAATGATGTGAAAGTCTTGAAGTGATGATTGTACAATCGTGTACCTTCGGTGTACCTTCGAGAACAGATCGGCTGTGCTCCAGCAGTTTTCTGACATGGTGGGCCGCATGGGGGGGGGTTGTTCACAGAACTATGACGCCAAACTTCAACACATGATGTAAACGTTGGATATAGCATTTGGACAGGAGGAACAACATCACACTTTGAGTGATTTGTTGCGTGAGCGTTGACATCGTATTTGCTGAGCAGTGGCTCAATAGTTTTGGGACGGTTTGAGGTGCCACGGATGCTAGGACATCCACAGCCCCACCAAGCACCTCTTGTCAGTGCATTTGGCAACCAGGCAATCCAGTGAGCTTTTGTCCTCGGGAAGTGGTGATGTTTTTCTCATGGGGCAGTCCCATAGAGTGCAAGGGGCATCCTGAACTTTAACACTTCAGCATCTACTAGTCCTGTCAATGAATCTGGTTTTACAGCCTGCAGGCTTTAGATCGGCATTCATCGGGTGACCGAGGGTTCTCATTGCAGCAAAACAAGTGTTGTTTTGCTACTGTTTGTGTTACTTTTGTGTACTAATGGGGTGCACTCTTGGCAAGACTTGATGTCCTTGACAGAAGCTCGCTTGCTTTTAATGCTTGTCTGGGCCGGACAAGGTGCGATGCCCGTTTCATGCCGAAAAAAGAACACCTGCAGATTTGAGAGACCTCATTGCTGTTTCAAAAAGAATCATTGGAGCCTAACATATCCTAACCATGCGTTGCCAGTGGCTTCATGGAGCCGAGGGAATTCGATCGATGGCAAGGATCACGGAATTGACAAGTACGAATGAACCGTCAACCGTTGGATTTCGTTGGCCTCGGCACTCCTTTCTTGACAAATACTGGAGGAGACCAATACAGGCTCCGGTCGGCACCACAGGGGTGGGTGATGAGATGTCGTGAGGAGAGCACGACCGTTTGCATTTGTGACCAGTTCCTGGTGAGTTTGCATTTGTAAGTTCATGAAAATCGAAGATGGTCCAGGCATGCCTGAGTAGGACTGTTCCTGTGTGCTTCTGTCAACTGGGATCATGGCCATTGCTGGATTCTAGATGGCTTTTGGATGTTCTGGTACCTCATTTCCAATAGCATCCGATAGCCATCAAGCTGACCACTACGAGAGGCTAGTTGAATTCAGCTCCGTTTAGACCTTGATCAGTGCGGCCACGCGATAACAGATATATAGTTTGATTATATATGTGATATTATGTTTAATTGACATGTTTGGTTGCAGTTGTTCTTGACCGTCATGACCTTGAATAGGGTGCAGGTTCTGCACAACAGAACGCACTCTTGCTCGTCTCTAAGATGACTTGTCAATCATACTCTCTTCTGCAGCCGAAACACCGCATTGCCTTGTGTCAGGAGCAAGGACGCTACTAGGAGCAAAGGGCCTCGCTACTAGGAGCAAGGACGCTACTAGGGGCTCATGCCCTTACTACTAGGAGCGATCAGACGCTAGAACGGAGCTTTTGAAGAGAAACATCGGTGAATCACGATTGTTCTGAGGTCGAAGCAGAAGCAGAGCCAGAACCCAATTGTCAATCTCCAAGGAGGGTGCGGGCTGAACGACATCAAAAAGTCTTTGGAACACTCTCGCCAGGCTGAGATCCGAATCCAGAAAGAGAAAACATTGAGTTTCAAAGACATCTCATGTTTTGCAGCATGATAGTGGCGTAGGATGCATTGAGGCTTTGTGTAGAGCGTTTTCAGGATCTCAGTGGAAGCAAAGGCGGGCAGGGTGCGACATTGACCTGGTCGAAGCTTCAACATTGCCAGAACACTGGGGGGAGGTCTACCGACAAACACTGAAACAGGTTGATAAGCCTGGCATGAGGAGTGCAGGTGAATCCCAAGCCGAATCCTTGATCCTGAGTGGTGCTTGAGCAGCAAGGTACAGCAACGGACATGCTCGTCGGAATTTGGTTGGCAAGCAGGAAGGTCAAGTCAGGAAGAGTATCTGAGTATCAAGCTTGTGTGGTCTTGAAGCCAACCCGTGAAAAAGACATGCTCTTTGAGAGCAACTTTTGCCTGAAATGGTCGAAGTAACACCTGTTTCTTGCTTGGTAGTCCCATGATGTCCCATGTAGTCCCCAATAGTGCTTACAGTACAGCTATAATATAGATCCTCGTGCTATTAATCACAAGTCGCAGGACATTTTTCTTTGTTAACCTGGACGTGGCTCGCGGAAAATGGACACCGCTGTCGCATTTTCAGCCACTTGCCCTTCACTAGCTATACTTACAGATGAAGTTAAAGATAATGAATTGTATGAATATTATTTCACTCAATCTCATGAGATAATATACGTAAATTGAGAAAACAGTATAGCAGAAAGAAATACCAAAAGCATTAACAGATATGGATAACAAAATGCCATATTGGTTGGTATCAATATATATATATATATTTTAAATGTAAAAAAAATAAATAAATATATATATATATTAATCAACCAAATATATATGATATACTCCATTTACAGCCTGCCCCTTCCCCCCTTTCTTCCGGGGGAAGATTCGTCATGTTCCGATACATTCCCATACGTTCCCTTGGTTCCATCGCCATTAGGTTGGAGGCCATCGCTAGTAGGTTGGAGGCCATTACTACTAGTAGCAAGAAGCTACTAGGTTGGAGGCCTTCGCTACCAGGGTGGAGGCTATTACTACGAGTAACAAGAAGGTACTAGTAACATGTATTTTGTCCTCCAAATGAATGTCTCGTTGCCTTCAGCCTCTTCGGAGCTGGACACAGCCTCTTCAGCCTCGCGCCGTCAGAGGCGAGGGCAGTGAGACACCAGAAAGGTGTTCATTGGGTGTTCACGTGGTTGATTTAGATGACCCACCAGAAACCGCTATTCCTGAGAACCATACATCCCTTCAAAGGGGTGTGGTGAGCGGCTTAACAAATTTTGGACTGAATGCCAGATGAAATGACATAACCTTTCTAGGTTCAAAGTTAAAAACCTGAACAAATGAGAAACGCTGGCGACCAATTGCAAGAACATTTAATGTATGTATAGTAGATGATGTTATAGTAGATGATGTGCGAGGTTATCAGCAGCGTTTCGTGACAAAAAGCAAGCAAACGACAACAACATGAAACTGTAGGGTACTGCACATGATGACTAGTTCAGCATGTGTTTGCATGTTCCTTAGGTGTTATTGTTTACGCATGATGGGTGCAGACTGTTTCTGGGACAACAGCAGGACCTCAGCACCGACCTGAACAGCATTGAACAGCTATCAAATTCGATCAAACTCGGTACCGTTCAGATCCATTCTTTTAGGAACAAGGACGCTACTAGGGGCTCCTGGCCTTGCTGCTAGTAACAAGAACGCTATTAGAAACAAGAAAGACATATTACTAAATTTAAAGTACCTTTTTCCAAAGATTTGGGAGACTTCTCCTTGGGGTGGTTCTTCGACACCGGCCCCCACGGACGATGGAACCGCAGGTCGATCGCGTGGAAGCCATGAAAGGCATTCAGGGCCACCTCGGAGCTCGGGTAATGAGCAGTGAGCCATGGTGACCATGTGAGCTACGACCCAAACTCCCAGCTTTTTTTTTCATGACCAAGGGGATTACGACTACGAGGTTGTGGCCATGTTGTTCTTTTGGTTTCTTTGGGGGATGGCTTAGGATCACTTGGTCGGGTCTCAAATCCATATGAAGAATCTCAGTGCATGCCAGGTCAGGTGAAGAAGTAGAGAGACCTGCCAGTGTCGTGTGGAATTTCCTGTTGATGGATACTTCAGGTGCATGCTCAAGTTGATCGGAATGATCACACTTTGGAGAGTCAGTTGAAAGCTGAAGCAGCCGCAAGTTGCTTGATCTCGCCGCTTTCTTCAGGCTCGGGCCACGAACAAGCCTCAAGGAGACGAAGGTGCAGTGGTTTCGCAACTGACATCCATCAGTTGGATCCGTCAAGCATAGGAAGATATGAATATCATGGAAGATCTCCGTTTGTATAGCTTGGCTGAAAACCATAGGACCAGAGTCACATGTTTTTGCCCAGATCACTTCTTTATCCACCATGCTAAACATAGGAACCATTCGGAAGCATATGGAAAAATATTGCCCTACTCAAAAAAGTGGCACCGGATTGATTGACCTACTTGCAGTGTGCCACTTTTTGTAGCGATGTCCCTTTGATGAGAAACGTGCTTGCATGTACTTAGCTGCAGTTCTTCGAGGGGCCATTTGAGGGCCTATTCATGTCTTCTTCAGCATCAGAGTCAGAGAAAGATGCTATTTTCAGGCTTTAGAGGGTGAGGTCTGGAAACGCATGAAGATCTCTGTCACTGTCAATACATATACAAATCTGGAGCTTCAACCAAACGTTGCACCAACAGTTTGAACCTTAATATGGCATTTCTTCATGCGGACTATCAAGCAACTGAGCTTTACATACCCTGAAGGGCATTCGCCAATGAACTCACCACACTACTCTCTTCTGCGTATAAAAAGATGCCGGTGCATCTGTAGGGTACATTGTCCCACATTCAGAGTCATTTCGGTCTTAATACACACACGCAGTGCCTGGATTCTAGATAGTCTTAGACATGGAATTCTGCTCGTAGGGTATAGCTAGGGTAAGAGCTTTCTACAGATTGGCCCCAAGTCGTTGCCAGGGGACTCAGACCACAGCAGCACCGGCGACTCTGCCTCCCGACGCTGACGTCTCGGCCGAAAAGGTAGTGCCGCGGATGGTGGAGCAAAGGCGGGCTGTGACGCAAAATGAGTACTAGGACACAATATACAATTAAGTGGAAAGAACCAACGGCTAGTCAAGTCCAAGCATGATCTACTCTCAAGCAGATTCAAGCAGTATATATAAGGTTTGCACAGTGACACGAGTGTATTGAATCCCAGGAGAACGCTTCATGTTCTTTGATACCCAACAGGCTACCCAAGGATCCTTTTTGGGTGTTGACCTTATAACTTCTAGTGTACTTATACTTACACCCTTCAGCGTGACTTACTGAACAGATTCCCAAAAGCCGTCCAACCAACACCAAGACACGAAACCAAGAACCGCTTTTCGGAGCTTTTGCCAAAAAAACATCTATAAACAAAAGAAACTCCGAACCTTGGCTCTCCGTTCCTTGCCTCTTCCGTTCACCTCTCCGCCAGGCCGGCCCGGCCCGCAGCCCTGGCGCCTCGCGCCTCCACGGAGCCGGTCCGCGCCACCCACCGGCGCCGCAGTTGGTCGGAGGCGCCCGAGCCGCCGGCGGAGGCGGCGAGCCAGTCACACTCGGAAGATGGGACGAGGCACCGGAGACTGGCGGGTTTGGTCGGTGTAGATTGACTGTACTGTTTCTTTTTCTTAATGGTTTATTAATAGTTTGATATATATATATATACATACATAGTAGTTTTTTTTAAATAGCACGCACCGCTCAAGATCCCTTTCGAAGTGGATGAGCTGGTTTTTGTGGCAGCTAGATGCAACTTTCATCGATGTTCATCAAATTTCTTTGTAACTTGTACCCATATGTATTTGCAGTGTCATCTCAGTACTATCGTAGGCTGTGTTGGTTTTTGTAGTTTCAGGATTTAGAGACTAGACTCCGATCATATTGCACGCGGCGACGCGAAGGAAGACAAACCATATTGTAACCCTTGCAAGTGAAGCTATTAATTCCGCTCTGAACTGTGATGGCATTCTGTTGAAGACATGCCAGTACCCTCATGCCTTTGAGTCAAGGGGCTCAGGCCCCATGCGGCATTCACCTTTTTCCCCCGAGCTCCGAACCTCTAAGGCTGAAGACAGACACCTCTGGCCCGTTACAGGCGAGCTTGAGTATTCAAGGCCAACACATTATGGTCCATATGGTCATTTGTTAGGTCAGTTAATTTGCAAGAAAAGTAGGGAAAAATCCTGGAACTCTGGAATTCAACATCCTGCTTCCTCCAAGAAAGACTGAACCTTCGGTAGACTCCCCAAGCATGAATGTGGCGAGAACTCTCATAGGCTTTACACATAATTCACACATATTCACATATTGTTATGCAAAACAGAACGAGCTCATCTAGCTAGGGCAGCTAAGGGTTTGTAAAACTCCGCTTGCGCAGTACTGGAAGCTGCACACCTCTTTGAACCATTTGGGCGCTGTGCTCCACAAACCTTTAGGGAAGCCTCAAAGCTGACAGATTCCTCTTCACTAGCACCTGCCAGGCATTCCCCCGGCAGCCGGTTTGAGCCTGAGCACGTCATTTCGGACGCCTTAGCCTGGGGTCTACAATCTACCGCAGTGGCATCACTCAGGTCAGGGCGAAGCATTCCTTGGCATCACAGTGGGGCGCCTGGCATTCCTTGAAAGGATCGTTGCAACGTATGGCAACACCCACTCAATCCCACTCATATGACTTATATGTGCCATTCCTTCGGGCCCTTTTGCGATGGTCGCTGCTAGTCTGATTTGAGCCAGCCCTACTCCTCAGGTGTTTCACTTCATCGCCCTTGACGCCCGAACCCGAAGTAGGCGGGAAGGTTTCCCGTTCCGATGCCGACCTGGATGGGGTCAATTCTAATCGATCAGATAGAGTAGCGAGGCACTTGTTCCTGGTAGCTTCTTGTTACTACTAGTAAGGCACTTGTTACTAGAAGCGATGCACTTGTTACTACTAGCTTCTTGTTACTACTAGTAAGGCACCTGTTACTACTAGCGTGGCACTTGTTACTACTAGACTGATAGACTCCATGATTTTATGATAGAATAAAGTCTGACTTTTCATGTCATGACTCAGAAGTCCGAGACCCAAGGCCAGGTCAATTGTAGATTGCTGCAAGTAGTATGGTTGTGTAGGTTGGAGACTCTGTCACAGTGTGATCTCAGGAATCGAAAAAGACGTTAATCTTTGAACTGGTAGGAGCAAGAAGCTACTAGGGGCTCCTGGCCGTCCTACTAGGAGCAAGGACGCTATTAGTTGTTCCTGGCATCGCTACTAGCTCACGTCAACGAGACCAGGGGCTCCGACAGAATGGTCTCCTTGGAGACGTGCTTGGAGACGAGCGAGGCAGGTTCCGGACGGTTCTGCTGCACGAGTGGAACAAGATACCAACTAGATCCAACTAGATACTGAACATTCCTTAGCATGATGGCATGTCGTATTTGTTTCTTCTGTGGAGCGTGGATTTGATTCTGAAACTGGGTGACTCCACCATCGCCGCGAGGAGTGCAGAAGCGCAGACCATCCGGCATTTTTGGGACTTCAGGAGTAGGGTTGGTACTGTATGGTATTATGAGATGGGGTATTTGTAGGGGAGCTGAGGGAGAATTTTGTTGGGTGAGAGTCTGATGAATGCTCTTTTTTTTGTACAAAACAATCAAAGCACATGCCAGTATTATTCCTTGTATTACTTGATATTGATATTGTTTGTGTTTACTTTTCTATCTGTCTCAAAACAAGAGGTTTGCAGAGTTTTCCTTCCCGAGCTAAAAACCCACCGACCTGTGACCCCGGATGTGACAGAATCGTAGCTGCAGGAGTGCCAGAGAGAACCTCGAAGAGCGACAGAAGGTTCAGGTGCAGCATGTTGTTTTCTGCTGAATTCTGTGAATTTCTGTGAGTCCTGTAGATCCAAGGCCTTACATGTCGCTTTCATGTCAGGGGTATACTGCAAAGTACAAGGAATCATCAGGGTTATGTTCTGAACGCCATGTCCATTCAGTGCATGGGCTACTCGTAGTTGAGAAAGCAGTGATCATTTTTGATGTTCACTAGCTAGAAGCTACTAGGTGGAGGCCATCGCTACTAGGTGGAGGCCATTACTACTAGTAACAAGAAGCTACTAGTGTGTCCTCATTCACCAACTCTGAGAAATAGCTGTTATCAAGACCACCTCCGTCCATGTGGGTCGCCCAGGCTGCACTGTTGAAGGTAGCTTTGCGCGTTTGGCACCTGGAGAAACTAAGGAAGTTGTTGAGTCCGAACACCAAACTGAATGTTCTTCATTTGGAGCTCGGGAATATGTCGACGTGTGAGAGTCCAGGTACTTGCTTTTCAGAGTTCAAATGAGAGATACCTGCATCCTTCATTTGTGTTGCGTAAAATATTTGCCCACACAAGCGAAAGGAATATATTTAATAAAAACACATCACCAAACAAGCAACGATCAATTTCAAGCGATCAAACGTTCAGTCCAGTGGATCCTTTCTGCAATCCTTGACATCGCCTGCATTCATCGATGGTCCCAAGGCTCATCCGAAAGACGGTGGACTCAGGCGCTGGAGTTGAATGCTGAGAGGGCAATGAGAATGGGGGCCCTGGATACCGCACATGGATGCCCAGGATACTCTTGAACACTTGGAGTGCTTCTCTTTGAAGCAAAACTCTGTAGTTTTTCTTAAGCCTTGTAACACACTAACAGAAATACCCACCCAATTTTGGCGCAATTTGTGTTTGTTACCGAGTCAATAGCCACTCATGTTGCACAGCCACTTTGACCAGAACGTACATCAGCACAGTCTTTTGTTCATTACCCAGACAGTTGATGAGGATGAGTGTTGTTAGATGGTCGGCGCCGGTACGATTAAGAACTCGAATCAGCAGCTTTCAACTCATATTGGATGCCCAAGATTTAGCCCAAATGGTCAAGGGCACATCTTCATGAGCTGCAGCCTTAAGTCAGTTTGATGATGTTTGATGCCTTTGGCTTGTGCAAATTGTTTGTTTTATACTTTGTTCGGGTCACCGGTCGAAAGCCGGATGAAGAGGCCCCCCACACCTTGCCACCGTCGGTAGGTCGACATCAATGCCAGCGCGGTGCCGAAGCAACAGCTCTAGCCGGTCCCCCCAGATGATGACCCCCCTGCATCCGTGGCTCTGAAACAAAGACGGCACACACCCTGAAGCTATTCCAAGGCGCAAGGTTTGCATCAGAATCATCCCTTCTATAACAGAAAGTGCTTCAGAGATTCCATAATATATCCTGGTCCTGGTGATTTCTTGGAAGTCTTGTGAGTAATGTAATTAAGCCGTGCACCCTGTTGAAACCTTGTGAACATGTTGCATTGGAGATCTTCGTACGTCCTCTCCCTGCCCGCTCAGCTCTCAATGTATGTTGTCAAAGTAATATCAACTCTCTTGAGCTCGTGAGTTTGCAGTCGGATTCTCATACCACCCCTTAGTTGACCGCCACCCAAGCCAATCAATGGGGTGCTTTGGCTGAAGGCCTCAAAAATAGGGAACCAACACAGGAATAGACGTGAAAAGAGCAAGTATACAGTATCAGTATACTTGATATTTTGAATATGGATTTATTTGATGCTCCTTCGCTTCTGTCTGAGGTCTCAGGCGTTTGTCCCTTTTTGAGGAGACCATGGTTGACGGCCATTGGAACACTGTGGCTGCGGCTTGGTGAGAGATTCGGACAAGCTTGCTGCCTTGACAATCTCTATACATATAATTACAAGAAAGAAACTATTATTTTTGATTTTTTTTGTTCGATCCCTATTTTGAGACCAATTCCCAACAAGCAGAGCATGTTTGTGAAATGGCCCAATCCTGAAGTGAGTGTTCTGGTCCTGTAAGAAGTTCAGGGTGAGCCCAGTCAAGTTGGTGTCAAGCAGTCGCACTGGGTTTGCTCGTTCATGCAATCGACTGCGAGCTTCACTTTCAGGCACTTCGAAGTTGTAACAGTGAATTCTAGGCTCAAGAGTTTAAGCTAATGGCAGTTGAGAACGTATAGACAAACAGACTTGAATAGACCCAAGATAGCTGGAAGGCGGTTAAGCCGAGCTTTCGCCTCGTCGGCCCACCTGAGCCTTCCTGTAGATGTCATTCCAGCTGCAGGTGGCCAAGAGACCGTCACAGTGCAGGATCCTCGTGCAGAGATTCAGGACGTAAAACTGCTCGAGCTAGGGGAGTCTGGGCTGAAGCGAAGACGAAGCTAGCCTTGACATGTGCGCAACACGACTCTTTTGTAGGATAGACATGGTGGCATGATACATGACAGACTTTTGAGATTTGCAAGCACATCATAGCATCTTCAAAATTGGGTCCCCAATAGAACTGAGCAGAAGGGTCACAAGACTTCTCTTTGCAGGAACAAGAAGCTACTAGGGGCGCTCCCAGAGTATCTTAGCATATCTTGATCGATGGGTTCATGGCTCTCTTCCCGGTTGTGCAGCCATGGGTCGAACCCCACTCAGGCCGTGCCCATGATCTGTGGGAGGGACGTGCCCTGACTCACGGCAGTGGAGTGTCTTGGAGTTGAAGATGGCATGAAAAGGTGCCAGGTGGGTTGGCCTTGCAAGTGAATCCTTTTGGAACCGGTCATCCCCTTGTTTTTTTGCTTAAGAAGTTGACTTTCATCCTGGGGCTGGAAGTTGAGGGTCCACATTACCCCTTCAATTGTGATGATTAGAGTCGACGCAATCCACCTGTGGTGCAACTTGCAACCTCTTAACTTCAATCTTATTAAGGATTTAGGAGTGATGTAACTCTCCTGTCTCTTTACCTTATGTGCTTCATGAGAATTCTATGTCGACTCCAACTTTGATCTTCTTTTGATTCAGAGAATGGTTCCCCGCACGGAAAAAGAGTTTGCAGTACCGAGCAAGAGATGGATCTTCCGCCAATTTGCCTGCCGTTTGCCAAGGGTTCCTTGAAGTTCCTTGTGCCTTGTGAATCCAAGGGTTCCACGATTCGAAGCAAAAAGAAAGGAAGAAGGTCCAGAGGTCCAAAGGTCCAAAGGTCTGAAGTTCAAGGTCTAAAGGACAAGAACTAGTAGAAATGGTCTCCAACCTAAGAGAAATGGTCTCCAACCTACAGAAAGAGAACATGTGACAACAGAGGCTTATAGAGGAATTGGTGGACTTTGCAGGTCTTCAGCCGTCACTCCACACCGGCGGTGCGCGGCTGGTGCCTCATGGGCTCATTGCTAACGAGAATGCCATGTCATGCCGTCTTCCCCGTGTTTCGGTTTGGTTGGTATCTGCCGCCAGAAGAGAGTAGTTGCGTCATTTAGCATCTTGTTTGAGTAAGTCAACGTGGTTTTTGACGTTTTGATAGGTGAACTGAGCTGCTCAACCTATCAACCAGCCACACAACCCGTTGACACCTGTGATGACCTGTCCATGGAAACCAACAGTTGTTGCAGTGAGGTCAGAACAAACCTCTGACACCTCGACGGCCTGAACACATCCTCTCTGAAGACCGTGTCACGGCGCGGGAAGATGTGGTCGCTGAGTTGGTTGAGCAGTGCGGAATCAGCGAAGGTATCGATGCTGATTGCAGCAGTCATGAGCGCATGATGGGATGACATTATGACCTGGTCAATGGGAGTGTGAGTAGCCAAAGCTCATGGAAAGGGGTGGTCATTCAGATGCAACTTTACATTGAAGGCCTGATGGGAGCAATTTGTGAGCTCATTGTTTTTTTCATAGTCAAGCATACCCGAGGCCTAGGGCTTACAGAAGTTTCGGAAGTCGCCAGAATGGTCGTTGCTTCGCCACTGCAGGTGCCTCGCTACGGCATTTCTGACATTTTATTGCGTTCAGCAGTTGGACTGTGATGTTTTGCCTTCAACACCACTCACTGCCCTGAAGGCCCTGAACCCCTTGTGCGCAAGCACCATGTTAAGGCTTGAGGGCCGAGCCACACAGATTGATGGCCGAAGCCGGGGAAACCACTGAGAGCCCAGTTCTTTGCGTAGATCGATCTTGTGTAGGTCAAACACGGTTTTCTCAACAACCGGTCTTCACAACCTGTTTGCAGGCCTTTTTGACTTATTGATCTATCTTGAAGCGAACTGTGAATATAGCACAATCCACAAACATTTGCGCGTGGTGGTCAGTGTGGTGAGCAGAGGAACAGTGCTTTTTGCGTGTTATTCGCCTGGTGCAGCGCACTAGCGCACTAGCGCACGAGCTTTGCGAGAACGACCTTGGCATTGTAAATCCCACTACTTTTGCAACACCAGTCCACTGCCACGACGCGCAAAGATGCGCAAAGCTCACTTCTTGTAATGCATGGTCGTTGCGTGGTTTTTGGCGAGAATCGTCATGGATGTCACAGAGTCGCAACCTTTGCCAGATGTTGTCCATGTAGGGCAATGGTCAGTGGCTATACATCAAACTTTAGCAATGGTATTTGAGCACTTTACAAGGCAACAACACTTAACCTGCAGGTTTTGTGCATGTCATTCAAGATTGGTGTCCGAGGGGCGTAATAAATGAGGCCATGTTGCCATGAGGGAGGTATTGAGGTGTGTTGAGTGCAACCTGTGAACAGGACCTTGAAGCAGCTTTTTGGTGGAGAATGTTCATCAGAAATGGACCACAGGGACGAGTAACACTGCAGGTTTGGAGGATGCCAAGGCCAACCCTACCTGGACTTCTCATGGATTGTATTATAATGGCTCATCTCGCAGGTGTTTTAATTAAGGGAGCCAATTGCTAGATGGCTTGAATGAATCGCCCTGTTGAAGGTGCACCTATGTCGGGCTACCATCACTGTGCCAGAACTCACGGATTGATCAAAGTGCACGGTATGGCAAACTTGTTCAGGGTTCACTCTGTAAGCAGTGCTTGATTCTCCTGCACTTCAATCTATCAACTTGCTTTGGAACGCTTGGAAGAAGACCTGGTGCACAATCACCATGTGGCCGAGCATCCGTCAGCTTTGCGCACCCCCGAACCTCGCGATTCCAATCGTGCGGGGTTTTGCGTGGCCTGCTGTCGTCGACGGAGTATAGGGTGCGATGTGAGGAGAAACGTACACTTGATATCCCCTACCCCATGCTACCCTGTGCTGCTATGCTCGTTTTGGGTTTTGGACGTAAGTAATGCTACCGTAAAGTTCATCTACACCCTGATCTTGAGGAAATTTATGGGAAATTTGGGAGATGATTGAACATCATATCAGCTTGTCATTATGGGAACCATCCCAAGCAAATGGGAGGGACAGATTCTTGCCTTCAGAAGGAGAAACGCGAATTGAATCGCACACCTGTGCAAATTCCAAGCATTGTTGCTGACGGGTTAAGCACTGCTTGCCTTCCATCTCTCTTTCTGTTTCGATGCCCTAGCAGCCAGCAGACAGGGGCATAAGTCTAGGTCATTGAGACTAATCTGAGGCTGGAGAGGCTGGAGGTAGGGGGAGGGCCCCAAGCTTTGTATGTCCATCCCGCAGTTCAGGCGGTACTCCGTGGATCCAACTGTACGCAGAGAAGTGTTGGATCCATTGGAGATCCATGGATCCACGTGTTCTTCTTTTGTGACTCATGTAGAGACGGCATTTTGCAGGTCTAAGCAGGTGCTTGCTACTCGAACAAGTTCTGTCCACAAGGGCCGCGACAAAAGGCCGGCTGCCAGCTGAGCGTCATGGCAAACGTTGCGTTAAATTTCGTTTCATCACGTGTCATGGTTTGTGAGCTGATTCGATTCAACCGACCGACTTTTTAGCGTGTAACATGGCGCAAGTTTTACTTGGCGCGTTCTGCTGGGGGTTCAGAGTATTTCAGTGACTTTCAGTGTGTGCATCAACTCATTCCACTCTGAACAAAGGTGTTGCATGTTGGATTTAATGGCCATGTGGCATGTGAAATACAGCGGACAAAGGACAATTGGTCATTGGGCGATGCTGGGTTGCTTGACTGGTTGTTTGGTAGGAGTTCCAGAAATTTAACTAGGACACAGCGGCTCAGCCAGATAGTCTGTCCGGCAGCTTATTCTTCAAGGAGCTGCAAATAGCTGCATGATTCGAATTTTATCAAGATTGTATTGCTTGCAACCCACCCTGCTTTGCAGATTTAGTTGTGATTGACTCGCGTCATTTCGTAAATCATAACGGTGACACATACATAAATTTGGTGTCGGAAACAAACGTTTGAATGCCACCACAGCTTGAATACACACCATCCTAAACCCATCAGCACTTCCTTTACCCATCCGAGAGCCCCGCCATGTCGGTCCGGGAGCAAAGACTTCGAGCCAGAGACGGGTTTGCATTGAGAGGCAACAGTGGCTTTGTTCTCGGATCTAAGCTCAAGACAAACAGAACAAAAAGTAGAACTTCCTTGGGTTGGAGGCCATTGCTATTAGGTTGGAGACCATTGCTTTCTTTGGCTTTGCTATGCTTTGCTTACAGATCTTGCAGTTGGGGTATACTTGGATGTTGGAGTTGAGACCATGTAATGTAAATCCCATGACTTGATGTCAGTTTCTGTTTGATGGTGTTGACCTGTAAAGGCCTATTTTCTATTGGTTGGCTGACCATGGAGACACCAAGCATACATTAATTAGTCCCTTTCTGGACTTGATGCTGATGCTCGTCTTGCTTCCGTATGTTACCCTCACACACTCACACACGGTCCCAAATGTTTCGCGATCATGTCCTCCGCTGATGCTGAGGTGGCAACATGGCTGGCAGGCATTTGTGCCCTGGTGCTCAGGTGCAGTCATGTGTTTGATATCCAGAGAATCCTCACCCTGACTTCGGGATAGTTAATTATAGAATCCACCTGCCCAAGCCTGAAACGGAGTCGAAGCCTTGCCGTGTCAGCCTCTGAGGGCTTTGTAGCGGTGATGCTGCTGGTGGTGTACTATGCCCGGAATCCCGGCCAACAGAGAGGTGCAAGTAGTATCAAAGAAGCCAGACACCGCAACATGATGGAACAATCTAGGGACGAGCCTTCGTATTCTTGATCAGACTCATGGTTTCATAGTTTCATAGGTTTCAGATATCGGTCACTCCTTGTCTCCTGAGTTCCTTCTGGTGATTCCAGTGCCCCACAGAGATTCCATTCAACAAAGCAAGCTTGCTCACACCGCTTGCCTCACTCAGATCCTTCTTTCGCGCCTCACGAAGCTTTGGCCTCAGCGATCATCCTTTTCGATCCCCCGCGATTCGGGAGGATGCCGGAGCGGTCCAATGACCATCAATGACCTTCTTCATGCTTTTGCTGAACCCTGCAGAAGTCCTTCAATCCTTGCCACCAAGCTATAGCACCTCATCCGCTTGATTCGTTGTCCAATGCCAGGAAGGCCAAAGGAAAGAAGAAGCGCCGCCAAGAAACTAAGCAGCAGGACGAGAGAGTTTGAACTTATTTGAAAGGGGACTGGAGCAAACAGATCCGAATGTATTGTTGTACTTTGTGCTGATTTGAATATTGATGATTTGATTTAAATTTATATAGCCAGAGCATATGCTTGTTCATCGTCACTATTGTAGCAGCTGTCAAGGATTGGGCATTGCAAATGCCGTGTGGTTCAATCACAATTTCCAGTCTATGCAATTAAGATCTAAATATTCTGTTCTATGCAAGAGCAATGCCTCACAAGGACTATCAACGATCTTCCAGATTAGTAGTTCTTTACACCACTATTCACAGTGCTCTACTGAAAGTTTCAAAGGGCCACAGGGCTTATATAAAAAGAACATAGGGCGTGAGGTTGCGCAGGAAGGGTTTGGGAGAAGGCTGCTAACTTTGTGGATATGCAATGATATGCACACATAGTAACAAACTGGCTGACAATGCCTTAAGCCTCCTGTTCCACCGTTGGAAGCGACAGGAGCCCTTGGATCGGCCGCGGGAAGGTGCTGAAGGTGGGTGGTCTTAGAACTCTATGGATGTAGTAGCGTCCTTACTCCTAGTAGTAAGGCCAGGAGCCCCTAGTAGTAGCGTTCTTGTTCCTAGATGGCGATTCAGAATGAAAATATGTCCATGAGCTCGTTTGACGATCTGCGGTTTTTTCAGGCTTGTTGTTGCCAATGCGGCAGCAGGAATTTGAGACCTTACCGACTTGAACCCTTCAAGCTGAAAACTGATGGCAAGAATATATATTGGTATGGCAAGCATGCCAATGTCCAACCCATACAAGATGTCAGATTGAAACAGATCGTTGAAGGCGTTCGCGGTCAGATGACGCGGATGACAAGAGAGGAGATGGCAGCACATTTGGCAACTGGGCTCAATTGTCGATCAAGTCCTTGGGGGCAGGAAACACACTCGTGTGCAACTCAACACAGCACCTACGGACGCTACTAGGGGCTCCTGGCATCGCTACTAGGAACAAGAACGCTACTACTAGGTACCTGGCCTTACTACTAGGAGCAAGGACGCTACTAGTAACACAGCACCCACGGAAATGATGGATTCTTTTTTTGCACAGGGCCGTGGTCCCGAGATCCTTGGGAAGGAGCAGGAGCTCAAGTGTGGGCACCCGGCCGACGTTGGACGTTTTGCACCCAAACAATCCCAAACATCCAGTTGGGAGCGACCATTAAGGGTTGCTCAACCGCTAGAGAACTGCACATGCTAATCATAGATCATAGAAGTGTTTAGACACATTGCAGTGAATGAAGGCAAAACCCGGTCTACAAACTATGGCAAAAGGATTTGGCCAAAGATTGCCAAAGAATGCCAAAGGATAATCTTGCTCAAAGTGGCGATCACCATTATGAACCTCTCTATGAGTAGAGTAGAATTGGGTGGAGAACTGCTGAAGAGGCCTTCACCGCTTTGACCATGACTATGCTGATATTATGAAAGGAACCGGTTCTTTCCAGTTTCTTTCGTGCAGCTGGAAGGCTTTCAAAGCAATTAAATACAAGAAAGGCATGCAGTATGGGTGAGACACTATCACGTGTCCAGGTCAAGAGACGAACAGAGTGCATCGATCGCAAAGACTGAGTACCAGTCATTTCTACGCGGAACGCATGTCAAATCTAGTGACTAGTCTAACTAGTTGAGTACTTCCTACCGGAAGGGTCCTGCCCAGGGCCACTAGTCCTTACATGTCCTTACCTCATCCGACTGTACCCACTCCACGAACCAAGCCCTCCACCACTGAGGCGTGATGCGTTGCATGTCTTCCGGAAGCTGCAGCACTGTCCCAAAGAGGAAAACAAGTGAATGAGAGACCCATGGGTGGTGGGACGATGACCTGATGACCATGAATGTGGTAAGAGTTTTTGGATTCACGAGTAGCTGTGGACTGTCCCCCCATCAAGTGTTCCAGTGTGCTGCGGTGTTCTTTTTGGGTAGATTGTTTTTTTCTATATACCAAACTTACAATTCACCATACATGCACATGTTTTGCTATCGATGCTGTTACTTTTCCAGAGGTTCAGGATTTTGGTGGAGAGAGCGAGAGAGAGAGAGAGGCACGGCACTAGATGAGTACACAATGTAAACAGAGCAAAAAGTTTCGAGAGGAGTCATTCGTCCAGAAGCTTCAATACAGTAAGCAATATTTGCGCACCAAGCGTTCTTGCAGCTTTAGCTTGCAAGTCAAAGAGTTTACTTGCAGCAAGTTGCATCCATATTCCCTACGCAGGATAATAAGAATCAGTGATTCTTGTCTTCTGGAGCTATCACGGTCTGAGTTGTCTGGAATTCCTTGACTGTTGAACGCTGAAAACTACACAAGTTCCATCAAGTTTCTTGGCCAAAATCACTGATCGGCTCACTTTGTAGGCTAAAGTCACTGGATCGGCGCTCGGCCATGCTCGCCAGCTTCGCCGAACGCTTTGGTCCGCAGGAGCGCACTCCGCTGTATGCAGAAGCCGTGGAACATCTCAGTGAAACGGGATCGCTTGAAAAATAACGCCGGTCATTCCGATCAGGGATGGGTCATGGACCGCCTTGGAGAACAAAAAAACACGGTGGGATTCTCATGACCTCGTTCTTTGTGCTAGGAGCAAGGACGCTACTAGGGGCTCCTGGCATCGCTACTAGGAACAAGAAGCTACTAGGGGCTCCTGGCCGTACTACTAGGAGCAAGGACGCTACTAGGGGCTCCTGGGGGTGAAAAGCTTTTGCACTTCCTTTCCCCTGAGGTGAGACTCTTTGATTCCATCGAGTCCAGGGGCTTCAGCGGGATGGTGCGGGAGGGACACGGGAAGCCCTAGTTGGGGCATGTTTGTGTGAGGTAGACCTTTTGCTAAAGGCGGAAAGACTGGGAAGCACTAAGAAGCCCAAGTTTCTGGAGTGATTGTGTTTGTTATTGTAGACATGATTCATAGAATAGAGTTCTCTTTGTAAAGGCATAGAGCTGCTGGTGAACGTTGGAAAGTGCATCAAGATGGAACCTTACCGGATATACCAGGACCTGGTAACATCTGGTAACCACGTTCGCTTATGTTTGGAGGTCCCCTGAGGTCTCCAGTCACACGAGCGAACTTGCAGTTTGATTCAGGGCAAACTTCTTCTCCAAGTCTCTTTGTTTGCCACTAGTAACAAGGGCATCGCTACTAGGAACAAGTGCATTGCTACTAGTAGCTTGAAGCTACTATATAAGCTGCCAAAATGTCAGACGCAACTTCCCCGGATGGGCGGATGGGTAGAGCTACGCATTCTTTCACGGGCTCCCAGCACCGAAGCAGCCGCCAGGGTGCCTTGACGTTGGAACCTTGGAGGGCGGAAGTGAAGGGAACGTACCGGTGTAGGCTATGCCGGCCATGCCTCAAAGGAGAGTTGTGACATAGGTGGATGAAGTTTTACCTCTTGTTTTGATAGTGATACCCACGATCCACGAAGCATGAAAACGAGGCAAGGTGGGGAGAGACGCGGACCCTCTCATCACAAGCACAAATGCATTGCACTTGGTGGTTCCATGCTGGCGACTACTGCACTGCCATGTGGGAGACGCATGTACTCACTGGTCATGTGCTTGGGTATTTTTGGATGGATGCTGCAATTCCTCCCTCCGCAACTAGCTCAAGGATGCTCAGGGACATATTTAAACTCTTCATGTTCTGAGTCTCACGGGGTATCAAAGGCCAAGACACGAGACGGCAAGAAGTGTTTTGCTTGGATTAAAGGCAGTGAAGCGCAACAGCGTTCGTGAAAAGGCATGCGAAAAGATCATGTTTTGTTGCACTGCCAGATGCTGAGGTCTGCGCGAATTGTGTTCTGTAACGCTGTGATGGAATGCCCGATATCCCAGAGTGGAATCCAGAGCAGAGCAGAGTCTCCTTTTACACCAGCTCCTGCGGCAAGTGAGGGAGGAAACAGACTGAGTGTATGGCAGTGAACCTGTAGCGACCATGATCGTGCAATAGTGTGGATGCCGCCTCCTGGCTCAGAGGTTTCAGAGCTTTGTACATTGTTACATGCGTTGATGACTCTTTTGCACAGGGCGATGGCAAAGATGTTGTTCTGGGCACGCTTTGTGAGTCTGTCACCTGCACTTTTGGATGCTTCTTTCTGCTTTAAATGTTGCAGAGTCTACGAAGCCCGATTGTCCACAGCCGAGTCCATGGCCCTTACAGCACGTATCGGATTGTATCTTAAGGCCTTACAGCACAAGCTGAGACTTGAGGCAAATCAAAATGGCCGTGCGGGTGAGCTTATCAAACGCTTTCAAACCACACCGTAGTCATATTGAAATACTGAAACAGTTTCTTTACCTGTTGTTCTTCAAGATTTGTCGAGCGTGATAATTTTGAGTGTTGAAGAGTTGGGGTGCACAAAGATGCCTCGGCTCTTTGCATCGACGCCATGTCAGCCGCGGAGTGGTCAGGCGAAGGCGGTGAGGTCAGATCTCCATGAGAATGTCAAGTAGCACTTGAGATGGCTGTTTCTCTGGTTTTCTTGATGTTCTTCTTGTTTTCTTGAACTGACATGGCTGTAGATGTTCCATTCTTCTCAATGGAAGAACCCTCCTTTTTGGGATCCAGAAATTGCAGAATGTTGGGGATCTGCTTTTCTATCATTTTCTCTCTATTTGGAGGTCTATCTGGTCAGATATAGTCAGAGAACAACATTTTTTAATCTAACCTGTTTCTCCATCAACGCCAACACATCAGGAATGGCATTGCCCGCGAAGCTTGCCTGCTTTGGCCACTCCGACTGGCGTTGTGACGTTTTGCCGTCCTGAAGGGCTGGCTACCCAACGGTATAGATCCCTTCCAGATGATGACGCTTTAAGATAACCAATACTGCAGCTCTAATTTAAATCTCACTTATCTTCCATATTCTCTGAACAACCTGCTGCTTGATCAGCATCTCAACGATCTGCCCAGATCCGCACTTCACCTGGGTTCGCTGCTGTGCCTTGCTGGCAGTGATCCCGCAGATTGTAGGAGCGGAACAACTCGAGACGGGTGGGGATTCAGTTTCGGCACCCGTGTTCAACAACATGTATGCCGTCATCGTTCGTGCATGTCATTGCTGCTGTCACAAAATATAGGGTGACAGAGCACTTTGGAACTCTTAGAAGGTTGCATGTAAGAGATGAAATCAAGTTGATAGCGTGGGTTCTTTTATCCCACAGCTCGGGTCCAGGATGGATGTATGCAACAACGTCACAAAGTGGTTTGAGCGGTTGAAAGAGACTTTCGAATCATGCCAGTACTTTAGTCCTTCTGCCAGAGACAGCACGCGTGTTCCATGTTCTTGATGGCGAAGCACAATGACCCAGGCGCACCTCCATTTGGTCCGTTTGGCAATGTGAACTGCTGGTCTGAAGCCCCTGGGATGCCGAAGGGTGGTCAAGTTCACTTACTCTAATGTAATGGTGTTTGGGTCGTGTCTACTGTAATGGTGTAGTGCCGACTCCGGCAGCACTTGGATTCAGCTTTGAACTTAGGAAACCTCGGCTGAAAAGTTAGCAGTTGTCAACCAAGACAAGACCAACATTCAATTGTACTTGCAGAGTTCTGCGTTGTGCAAGTCTTCTCTTGAGCATGAACAACTAAGGGTTATGACTATGACACCTGCTGCAAGCTGACCTTTTCGAACCAGAATGACGCAGACATCCCGACGCTTGTCGGCAGAGGAGGGTTACATGTTGGTGATGTTGTTGCTTGAATGCAATGGCTACGAAGGCCGCACCATGCATGCTTCAATGTTGCGTAGAAGTTGGATAACCACCATGTTGCTCAATGTCCAAAATGTTTTGGTATCGTCTCCGGTGTAATCAGCCGCGTAATGCCGCGTAAACTTATACCGATTGTCCAGTCAACGGATATACAATCATGGAAAATCATTATGATTTTCTTGTTTAAAAGAATTTCTTTCAAGTAAATCAAACGCCATGTGTGCGCATGCCTCAAGTATGATATGGAAATTTGACAACATGGACAAACTTCCATTCTGGATCATGCTGGGACGGAAGTCATTCCCTGCATTTTCTTTCACCTATAGCTATCCATGAAAAGTATGTCCCCTGATGAGCCTCGCTCAGCAACTTGTGACACTCAAATCATTGTTTCCTCTCACCCAGTGATGCCGGGTGCGCCCATCTATTGGAGAATTGAACTGTTGACTGAATGACACTCTACCCAAGATATTTTGCTGCACTTCTGAGTTCTTGTGAGGTACCTCTTCACGGAGATCTTGCGGGTCTCTTGGCTTTGGAAGGAATGTCGAGTTCCATGTTTGAGCGAGTGCGTCCAGCCCTGAAGCGAGAGTGGGATTCGCGACTTCAGGTTGCGGGACGGGCACCACAAGGAAGTTGCAATGACTTTCAGTATTCTATATATAATTATATTAATTTGTATTCAAGGCACTGAATGACGCGTCCATGTCAGTCTGGTCGGATGTTGAAAAGGTGTTTCATGGAGCCTGAGGCAGAATTTCGGCCACCAGGGAAGAACTATTCCTTGGATTCTCGGCAGCAAGAGCCACTATTTCAATATATTTCAATCATGACGATAGACGATAGCATACGATAGCTACATTTAGTAATTATGTGCAGCCTTTTGCAAAGGCGAGACCGAAAGTAGATACTTCCTCTCACAGCAGTCTTGCTTCAGTTTCCACGGTTGAAACTTCAATTTGGTTTTGGATGCGTTGGCTGAGCGCACAATGTGTAATGGCATTTCTGGCACTGAGACTGATCTTGCGTATTTGTGACTTTCTTGGGCACATGATGGTCAAAATTGCACCGGACAAAAAGTAAGCTGATTATACTCACTAGTCTCCCACATGCCCAGATCAGGTAGATTCCATTCCCAACAGAGCGGGATGATGCTGAGGGTTGAGTGGTTTGGTGTCGATTTTAGGGCCAAGCGATGTCCCCATTATTGAAGCACCTGATAGCTTGGAGTCAAAATGGTTTAGTTGTCAGTTGATGCCATACAGGCCTTATGGAGACTCAAGCCGGCTCGGCAAGTCAAGCTCCCTGAACATTCCAGGATTTGCAGCTGCATCAACGTGCAGCACAGCTGGGGACACCTGCGTCTAGCCTGATGGACAGATTTGGTCGCTTGGATGTGATGAAACAACATCCCCGGGAAGATTTGGAGGGCTGCGATTTCATAATTGTTTACTGGCCATTAACAGGCAGGGAGCAGGAATGGTAGTCCCGGGTATTCCCCACTGTGACATAGTGACCACAAAAGGGTCTGAGGTAGAAACGATCAAGCAAAGAGAGGAAAAAGCAACAGTGTGGGCACCTGTGAGTCTTGTTGCTAGCTAGTAAACCTTGCAAGTAATCAAACACACTTGCAGGATGCTACTGTATTGGTTTGGTAGAAGTACTGTGGGACGATCACTTGTCCTTGCAAGTTAGGCGGGAGACATGAGGGAAGTGGTGCCTCTTGTGTGAGCAACGAACGTCGAGGGCGAGGGCCCTTTTCGAAAGGTAGAAACCAGGACGTGATTGTCAAAGGGTTTACGTGTGTGCCCCGTTTATTGGCTAGTGTGCTCCGTGGGGAGGGTAGGTCAAAGAGAAGCAATTGTTTGTTGAGCATTGCCATTGCAATTGCTATGTGCCCAGGCAGCAGCTGGCCGGCAGGCTTGCTATGGACAGGCAGCTATCAGTTGCTAAGGTGCAATGAGTTTGGACGGCCGTTCTTGGATGTCACATGATTTCGGAGCAACAGTAATAGGCTGAGCTGATGTGTTTGACGTGTTTATCCCGGTCATAGCCAGGTGGTACGAATGTTCGGCAGATCTGAGCCGTTCCATGTGGTCCCGGCGAGAGTACATCGAGTTTGGTGCAGGCCCCGTTGAGCTCGTCGATCTGAAAGGGTTGGCAACGACAAAGTTGTGGAAAATCAACTGCAGACTCTGCGAATCTCTGCGAGGTTTCAGTATTCGGTTTGCAGCTTTGGGGAGTGACTCCTGGCCCAGTGGACTCCTGATGCCGGACTTTCCTGTGAAAGCACTCATTTTGGCATTTGTCTACCCCTTTGGAGGTCTTTGGATCAAGGCAGGTGTATCAAGGTGCAGAAACCACAACTCTCCATGAAATCCACAACTCCCCAGGCTTTCCAAGAATCTATTTGCCAGAGAGGCAAGGAGCTCCGTCCTATCAACGTCAATAAGCAAACTGCATTGGTGGAGCATAGATAAGCTTCCCTAAACACTTGGGAATAGTGTTTTCATTTGTTTTCCAGTGTTTTCCCCTCGCCTCGCAGGCATCGGTGCCAGCGGCATCGCGGCAGCCTTCAACGGGGCCTTTGTCACCTTAGTCGATGCCTTCGTCACCGAGGAGCTCCTGCAAAACCTGCAGGTTGGGCGAAATTCCGGCCATGACTGTTGGAAGCTGGACGAACCCACAGGAAAACCCATAAACGCAAATCCTGCCGCATCCATAGCACATACAGTGTGTATATTTTATTTAAAAAATATATATATATATAAATGTGTATATTTATATATCCATTATATATATAATTGGCACGCCCATTGTAGAAGAAATTAGTTGTGAAAATCTTCTGTTTGAAACCATGCTGGAAAGCATCCCAGGGGCATTTCAAGTATAAGTAGAAATTTAATACCGCCGATGTCCAACACGTTTTTAAATAGAAGGTATGCATCAGCAATCCACCCCAGCCCGCCCGCAGCCCGCCCGCCAGTTGTGGATCAAGTGAGATGGCTGGCGTGGCATGGGAAACCTGACCTTTCAGGCACAGATGAGAGAAACAAAGGATCAAGAAAGGAGGGAGCGAGAGAGAGAGAGAGAGGGAACATGGGCCAAGTGCATCAGTCTGGTTATAGCTCACAAAGGGCACTTCTATTTGGTAAGGAATTTTCAATATCTACTATTTGTTAAGGCTTGGCTTCATTGCAATTTGGTCAGCTGGATGAGATGGGGCATCTCCATAGGAATCTTTTGGGATCTTGGGCACTTCCGGGATCAAAAGGCTGGAAATATAGATATTGCCATCACCCTCTCTACATGATACACCTCAGCTTTGTGAGGCACATGAACCGCAACTTGGCCACTCTTCCTTCAAACGCCCACTGCTGGAGGCTTGTGGATTGCGTTGGTCCTTGGCCTTGGTGTGGGATCTCAGGGTGTGCGATGTCATTTGCCGTCAGCGCAATATACCAGGACATTTCAATATCTTCTATTTGATAAGGATTGGTTTCATTGCAACTTGGTCAGCTTGTCGTTTTGTACTTTGGATTCTCTACATCATTGTGGGAAAAGGTGCATGAAGGTGGGAAGCCAGCCAAAAATCCAGACAAGGAACACGAGTTCATGCGTTCTTCCTCTCATGTCATTTTGGTGATTTGCTTCTATTTGAAAGTGCACTGGCAGTCCTGTGTTGCGGTCGTGCTCACAAGACTGTCTGTGGAGGCGGAGCCCAGGGTCAGTTTTGAACCGTGACTTACACAGTCGTGAATTCCAAGTAGTTGGTTATTTATCGATTCAATATCTTCTATTTGATAAGGTTTGGTTTCGTTGCAGTTCCTTCAGACTGTCTCGACTCTCTACTCAAGATTGGGCTTCAAGCGTGCCATTGGAGAGACACGGCGCCTCGCTCCGCAGTGTGCCATTGGAGCGTCGTGGCCATGACCTTGCCCTTGCCGGCTGAGATCCAGCGGATGGGCCAGTTTGTGGAAGGTTGGGGAAAGGAGATGAAGCTGGAGCACCTTGCCGTCTTCAAGTACTTGCATGTGAGCTCTAACCGCAAGCGTGAATACTTGCTGATGAAGCTCAAGCAGCCTGCGGGAGCTGAGGGCGGCAAAGGTTGCTGCAAGCAAGGATCCAACCAGGTCCTTGCTCACTTCCGCGGCCGCGGTGCCCTGGTGGGAGAGGTCGGATTTCTACAACTTACTGCCAAGACAAACAGAGAGCTTTTGGTGCACACGGGGTCTTTAGCAATTGAGGGCCCGACTTCCACCTTAGCAGCTTTACTTGCTGTCACGGGGCCAAGGAGCACGACCTGACCTTCACGTGTGATCTTCAACGCGCTGCCTCCTGGCTTTTTTTAGACCAAGTCCAAATTGTATTCGGAGTTAGTAAGTTTTCCACACTTTGGTATGGTTTCAATCGTCCGTCAAATGATAGTTGAAATTCAATTGGTTCAGCTCTGCCACTGTCAATTGCAGATGTTTGTCAACCAAGGCTTGGAAAAGCGATGTCGGTGACACTGGCAGGTTGGACAAACCCCTTGTGGTCCGGACTTGTCAGTTGCAGTATGCGCCAAGATGGTTGAAAGCTTGGCTGGACTATCACCGCTTCGAGCAGCTTCAATGGATTGCAGTTCCAGAAGATGAACGTGAGCCAATGGTGGAAGGGCACCTACTTGCTTTGACAGCCCCATGCTGATGCTCATAACAGCAGAAATGTGGGGAATCGCTCCTGGAAGCGCTGACAGAGACTCCAGCGCCCGATGCGATTGCTGAGGAGCCATGGGCCACACACTTCTGTGGGGAATCTCTCCAGGATGCTGATGGTGAGGAGCCACAGAAATGTGGGGAATCGCTCCAGGAAGGGCGTCGTGAGTTTAGAGACTCATCAGTCTGAGGCTGAGGTTGAGCGGTCAGATTGCAAACATAATCTTTCAACGTATTTTCTTTACACTTACTTGGGGAGACCTAGCTAGACCCCGAAAGATAGCACTCCTTTGCTGGCGCCCGGTTCGCCCAGGCCGGAACTCTTGCGCGAAGGGTGTTTCACCGCCGGGCTGTTCTCCTAGTTCAAACCACAATTTTGGGCATCGAACGGTGTTCCTGAACTCTTGCGTGAAGGGCGCTTCACCTTCATGAGATCATGAGGTGAGAAAGGAAAATGAATCCACTCTGCGTTGCCGTTATTCTATTTGAAACCGCAATTTTGGACACGGACGGTGTCCGCCCTTCCTCTATATCATACCCATACTTAGCTCCCTACTAAGTCGTCCACCTCCTTTTTGAAAATATTATTTCGTATCATATCTTCTAAAATAGTCGTCCACATTATATTATCATGGCATGAATGATCTGTGACTTGGCTTCAGGATGTCGTCATTCTTCCGGATGTATTCCTATCGCTTCTATGGAGGAACACCAAGCGTATCACAAGAGGTCATGTATGCTCCTTTTTCAATCCAAGTCCGAGAATATACACTGTACATCACTGTACTGATACTGCCCATTCCCTCAAACCTGTACAACCACCTGTTCACTCGTATCAGCAGTTTCAGAAGTAACAGCGCATTACTACACATTGTTACCCTCCATCCAGCAAACATGGAAGTGGAACACGGCCTGCTGACTGTCCTCCCCTACTGACAGGCAGTTTTCCACTTCCATGATTGTTGGAGGGAGGGTACATCAGAAACGAAACCGGCCACGAGTAGCGTCAGGTCAATCTTCCTTCAGCCCTTCGCTCACGAGTAGCGATTTGCCAGATGAATTGGACACAGCCGCTGCAACGAAACCTGGTGTGGGGAGCCCGAGGGTCCAGCAGGGTGACTTGGAAGACTGGGTGACTTGGAAGCAGGCGGGGGATGATTTCCCAAAGACCAGACTATTCATATGATTCGAGGAAAACGTATGATCTATGTACATTTATGTACTGTAGATCTGTTGATCAAGCTTCATGAAGATCCACAACTGCCACTCCACCTCGGAGCAAACATTGCATCGGGCAATGACTGAATCTCCTGCTTTCGCTCACAGACCTGTCACCAATTTGGGTGCCCCGATCCATCCCAAGACGACCGAAACATCACCGTGACGGACCATGCAGCGATCGGACCTGGGACCTGGGACCTCTGCAGGCAGCTGCAGAGGTGTGTGGCACCGCGCGTGCCGCGTTTGAAAGAATTGAAGTTCGATCTCATTGGCTGCGGCACGTCAATTTATGGCTCCCTAGCTGCAGCCCTGTCCAGCTTGAGCTTTAGAAGCTGAACATTCAGGTTGATTTCAGGCCAGGGGCATCTTGAAAACTAGGAACATTTCAGGTTGGTTTTGTAGGGTGCAAGGCTCCAAATGTAAATCTGAGTTTCCAGACACCAATCCCGCATGGCTTGCAGAAAGTGTGAATGACATGTCAATCCCCTTGTGGACAGCGGATCGTGGCTCATCGCTTCGCCACGCTGCCAGTTGCGAGGTCAAAGCCACATGATGCCGCTGATACATGCCATCAGCAAACCGAGGTCAGTACAAGGGGGGCCGTGCTGTTCCATTTTTCCTCAATGTTCGACGATGTTTGATATTCAGGGGTTGGTAATACCTTTCATTCGTTTGGCCACATAGAACGCAGGTCCTCAGCTTTTTTCCACACAGTGTTCGCTCATATTGCATGTACATGCTACAATGAATATTCTAAGTTCCATTGGTTGAAAGTTGAACCGCTGCGGAACTCAACATTACCAGACGTTCTATCCATTGCACTTCACTGTCAATGCCCAAACACCAATCAGACTGCCTACCCACCTCAGAGTTTAGAGCATTCAGATTAGCAGACACTGCATGTTCTCTGACTTCAGGCATGGCAGCGTGATGGTGCAATGGGCAAGCCAGAGTTCCAGTACATACTAACACACCCAATTGAATTTGGTTGGCGAACAAGAATATGATAAAGGTTTGAACTCTGAAGAGAAACAAGCACCGGCTCCATTAACAGACATCCTGGCAGGACGCGGGTCTTCATTGCGCCTTCCGTATCCTTCCAAAGGTTCATGGCCGCTTGTCCGCAAGAGTTTCACTCGAAAGGACACATCCGCCGTACTCACAAGACCCGAGAAAAAGGAGGAGGAGGAGCAACACCCAACAATCAGCGATGGGACTTGTTACCATTTTGTCCGACTTTTTGGCTGACAGGCACGTTGGGGACGTCCGACCTCGCGGTACTTCCAGAAGCTGGTGGTGCGAAAAGATTTGGGGCTCACCACCGTGCACAGGCGAGAGCAGACGTGGGCATGGGTGTCTCTTTGGATGGGAATGGTTCGGTTCCTGATGTTCTTACTGTAAATCCTTTTGGCCCTGATTGTTATCCCCACCTTTGACGGACATGTCTCAACAAGTTCCTCAATGCACATTTGTCTCAAGATAGAGCTGCGAAGGCCCTCCAGCTTTACAGAAAAATGGAGATGGAACCAAGTCCCTTCACTCGGAGACAGCCCCATTAAGTCCATGAATACAGTTGATAGTGATAATTACAGACTCAAGCAGTTAAACAGGCCTCACTCTGACCAGGCAAAGGTGATAGGTTCCAGCTTTGCTCCGTTCCGATTTGCCTCACCCGGCTGGGAATGGGCTCAACTATAAACTCCTTTGTGGCATCTAGATGAAAAAAAAGAGCAGGATCAAAAAGGAAGGGAGCGGGATCATAAAAAAACAATAGCAGGATCAAACACAAATCCTGAGTAGGTTCCCTAGTCCATTGGTCTTCTAGTGCCCCTAGTCCTTTGGTCCCGTGCTCCTTTTCCTAGTCCGCTGGTCTCATGGTCCATTGGTCGAAAAGAGCGAGATTTTTTGCGAATTCATAATACTTGCGAATTTGGCGCGACCTTTGCAATACAAAGGTTACCTAGTTGCCTTGGTCCTTGTGTCACTTTTGGATGCCCTTCATTGATGGGGCAATGAGGTGTGTAGTGTCCAATGATCTATTTTGTGGTGCCTTCTGAGTCTAGTGGCTTTTGAATTTTGGCTCGCTCTGGGGGAGAGCCGCCACAAAACCAGCACTACTTTTTCCGATGCACTGCGGCCACGACAGATTTGTCAAAGGTAACCCATCACATCTCCACACCAAGTGCCTTACTAGTAGTAGCAAGTGCCTTACTAGTAGTAGCAAGTGCCTTACTAGTAGTAACAGGTGCCTTACTAGTAGTAACAAGAAGCTAGTAGTAACAAGTGCCTTACACCAAAGAATTACGTGTTGCAAACATCATTTCATTGTTCTCTGGTGGATGATAGGGCCCACCTTTGCTGTGTCCAACATGTCTATCCTTTCATGTTCTGTTTTTTTTGTGTTTTGGCTTGCTCTGCGGGGGGAGTGCCTGATCCTTTTGTCGTCCTGCTGCTGCTGTCGTTTCCTGGTATGGGAATAGTTTTTGGAGCATTTCCGTTTTTCTTTTTGATCCCCGTCGAGCCTTGAGCAGTTTCTATGACGGTACTTTGATGGCCCATGGCAGTTCATGTACAGTCCGATGACAGTCTCGTGCGGCTCAGATCTGCCTGGGCACCACACTGTGAGGGCGATTGCCCTTTCTTTGAGCTCTCAGAACCGAGAGGCGCACGGTGCGCAAGGATGGACAGGTAAAAACCAACACAGTCTGAAAACAAAGCCCACAAGGTTTTAGTGGAAAGAGCCGGATGTTAACATGTTGTTGACGTTTTGGTGGTTCAAAGCGGCGTGGTTTCGGCGGGCTAGCTGTTTACGCTTTGCCTCTAGCTCTTTTCTATTGCTTTTTTTTGCAGACCCATGAAGGTACAACCATGCTCATTATATGCGTGTACATTTGAACATGAAACATGTTCCACGTCCTTCAAACCTTTCCTGTTTGCCATCAATTCGCCCGGGTTGAAGCTCTTGAGTTTGGTCAACATGGCTGGCGCATGGCTCGTGGCTAGCCGCGCCCCGAGGCATTCCTCGAGCTTCTCAGACAAGGTATTCCTTCAAACGCCCGCCCTGTGCATTCAAAAGTGGAGCGAGCCAGGTTGCAAAAGGGTGAGCCCTAATCTGTGGCCAATCACGTCACTTCAAAAAAGGACACCCGCAAGACCTTTCAAGTCTCAGGGGAACTTGATGCGTGTTGAACCAGTCCTCTAATATTGTGTCTTGAGGGCAACGCAGACACAAGCGTCACCTGTCCCTTAAACTACAGATTATCAACTTGAAGGTGCTGTTGATGCAGGAATCGCGCAAATGTTGGGTAGACTAGTTTTGGTCCCTCAAAATAAATCTACGTGTGATCCGGTGGAAAACGCAAAATGTTCAGGCAAAGACTGCACACAACTGCCTCAGGGGAGAGGTATTGCTTAGAGAGAGCCAGCAGCTGCGTTGTAGATTCATTTCTGAGATCTTGCTTGCATTTGGGATTGGTGCCGGGTGGTTGACTATCGTTTCAGGGCTTGAATCGTTGATTCCCTTGTCAAAATGGCACTAGTTGCCTCTGAGAAAGGACGAGAGGACCTGCGCTTTGACAACAAATCACATGCAAGGAGGGTCGTATGCTCGGATGTGGCCGATGCCGAAAGCCCATGGAAGCCCTTGATTGGCCTGATTCGACAGACACAATGAGTGTTCCACACCTCACGAGGTTATCCCAGTCGGTCATATCCTCAAACAAGCGGAGACGCTTGTTTGAGAAGTAATGGATCATGAGTGCCAATTTCAAGGACTGGAGAACAAAGATGACGACTCATTGGTGTGTCCATGTTCATCCGCCTGACTGTCTAGCTCAGAGAACTGGTGCCGTGCAGCTCCTTTGTTTTACGTCTCCATTTTCGCTCGAGGTGACGGTCTGGAATCACTCCGCCGAGCACAGGACCTGCCGAAATGACCAGGGTATGGGCAAGTGAGCACAGTGGTTCACAGAATCATGTGGACACATATAGCAGGTTGGGAGTAGGCATTTGGGAGTGGCACGGAGATCTTTGGGGATTCCCTTGCTCCGTTTGTTTTGGCGAGTACTTCAAGTGTAGAGTATCACCGCTGGGGTGAGCTGGGGAGCCCTTTCTGCGATCAATCCGATGGTGGGTGTGATTTGGAACAAGTGACATGGTTGTTGAATTTGGGATACTACAGTACTGGTATATCAACGGTCGGCTAGAATAGGGGGATGCATCTCCATCCCCCAATAAGTAGAAGTAGAACAACCAACAGGGAAGACGTTCTTTGTGGAGGCGTGTGATTTACCATATACAAGAAGCTTTGCCCGTTGTGCTCATGAAAACGTGGGTTGATCCACGTAAACCTTTAAGTCCAACTGTCTTTGGCTTCCTGCCCTTCAAGCAAATTAGCCGAGCTATGGCGAGCTGAGAAAATAGAAACATTCCTTGAAGCTGGGATGCTTTCCAAAGTCCTGGTTCCCTTCCTCGCTGTGAATGTTTCACGCAATTGGCTTGCTGTTTGAACGATCTTCGAACTCAATCCTTTCCTTGATCTCGGGGCCAAGAAGTCGCGAAACTTATCCATTGGGTGAGGTTCAAGGCAAATACTCTGTTTTTTGCTCCAAGAGAAGCATGTGACGTCACGATTGAGTTGCAGGCTCAAAAGTTACTGAGGGGGAACCAAATTATCCATTCAGCTAGGAAATCCCGTTTTAGTTTGCGGATTTGTAGAGCACGCTAAAGTTGCAGGCAAGACAAACGCAAACCACACACAATGCCTGCTAAAGTTGCAGGCAAGACATGATAATAACATAATCACAATACCGTCTCCAAGTAGTTCTCAGAGCACCTAGTAGATCTTAGATATATCGCAGTCTCCAAATGTTTTTGCAGAGATCGATTATTCTCCAAGTGATGCCATGATCCTCCACTGGATCAGAGCCATTCTGGTCCTCGCAGCAACTGGGCTTCGGGTTGTGCTTGACACAGACCTGGGAGATGACATTGACGACACTTGGGCACTGAGTGCCCTCTTGCAGGCATGATCGCTCTCACTTGCAGATTTATTGTTTTTTTTCGTGTCATGTGTCAAAAATTTATATGACTGTCGTAGATAGCAACAGGATACGGAAAAAGAACAACAAACCTATCGGGATCTTTCTGGGACATTGTGAGATGTGCTGTATGCTGATTGAACTCCATTTGGTTCAAAGGAGTCTCAATGCGTTCTGTGGTTTAGCTTTGTTCCCCTGCCATATATGGCCGCATTAGAATCATTGGAGACCTCATTGGCTTGGAACTTGCCAGAACCCCTGTTGAACCCCTAAGCCGCTCAGCCTCACTTCCAAGCTAGGAAAGGAAGTAGGCTCAGACTGCGACTCTCTCTTTGAAACACATCTCACTTCTTGTTTCAATTTTAGTTAAATTCTATTGAATTCTTATTTCTAATAGCTTCTTGTTACTAGTAGTAAGGCCAGGAGCCCCTAGTAGCGTCCTTGCTCCTAGTAGCGTCCTAAAAACGTACTGAAAAACAAACGTACTCCGCCAGACACCCACCGTGGAGCTGCGCCTGGTTGTGGCCGACTCCTTTGGCGCGTGGAGCCATGCCTGTGCCGTGGCCAAGTTCCTGCGCCTGGCGGGGCGGAGCTCTCAGGTGCACCGCCGAACGAGCCCTCAGAGGAGCCAACATGAATCACTCAGGAATCAGGGCCCGTCAGTTAGTTGCTGCATATATAGCAGCGGCCAGGAGCCCCTAGTAGCGCCCTTGCTCCCATATATAGTTTCTTTAATTTATAGTGTTTCAAAACCGGCGGTTCTTGTGAGCGCTTATGCTTCTTTTTAGCTTGGCCCATACTAAATTATGTCATTTTTTTCAGAGGCAACTTGCTATTAGCATTATTAGCATCAGCGTTTCGCTTGTGAGGATTTTGGTGGACGGATACCTTTGTGATTTTATGAATGAGCATTCTTCTTGTTCCAGTAAACAGCTTTATCTCTTGGCCCCATTCACTGGCCATTGCTTTTCATTCATCCACATTGTGTTCCAACAAATTCCAATTGTCATATTTTTTTTGAAAAAGCAGCACATGGACTGTATTAGGTGTATTCCATCTCCATCCTCATGAGGTGCCTGAGCTCGCCATTGGCCCACAGCGTGTGGGCCGCACGGTGATGGAGACCTGGGCAACAGCTCAGGATTTGAAGGCCTTCCCCGGACAGGTGCGCACCTCGGCGAGAAGTCGAAATCGAAGACGACGTCGGACTCGTTGCATGAGGTTTGTTGCAGGACGCCTTTTTGTCTTGGCATGTGTTGTTCGATTGCCAAATAGAACCACAGGTTTTATATGGTTTTATCATAGCAGGTTTCCAAGAGCATGTGGAAGTGACTTCATCATGTTGCTTTCTGCGACGAGGCTCTGATGCTCCACAGGCCATCATTGAACAAGTCCAGGCTGCAGTTCCTTGGCCAGGCTGAGTTGAAAAAACACCCTTTTTCGAAAGCGGTCCCATTCCGCAGCTAGGTTTTCCGAAGCTGGTATTCAGACACTTCGTGGACCTCCGACTTGGGGTAGAATCCGACACTGCTGTTAAACTTGGGCCGTTCCAAAACTTTGGGACTTCCGGACCTTCATTACCAAAACTGTTTTTGACATATTTGCGCCTGCCTCTCCCATGTTTGCAACGCAAGCGACGCATTGCCGGCCATCCTTAAGATGCGGTGCTTCAGTGACTCCGACATGGTAATTTTTCGAGTCCCACTCTTCAGTGAAGTTTCCTGAGTCCTAGGTGTGTAGCTGCCGGGAGTGGTCACAACCAGTTTTGTTTATAGGGATGTCCAGCAATTGACATGGTTCTCATGTGATGGAGCAGTGCAATGCAGTGTGATGGATTCATGGACCGATGAGGCTGTGAAGTGGCTGTGGCTCAAAATTTGGGCACACCCCAAACCCACAGGCAAAGTATTGCAAAATGACAAATGCACCTGTAGGTCCTTGGGTCTTCATGTTTGAGCCCTTGCCGAGCCATGTCCATTTCGCGTCCGGACAGTGTGTGCTGTGGCGCTATCAACCTTCAACTCAGGCCAGAGATGACGTGCCACTCCAGATCTTGGTTCTTTCCCCGAGCTTCGCACTAGCTGCAGCCCTGCGCGAGGCTCCCTGGATTGCTCAAAAGGCACAGATCACTGCCATGGGAGGGAGTCTTTGGCATGGCACCAATGGAACTGGGCCACCCCTTGCGGAATGGAGTGTAAAGGCAGTATCTCGGCATATATTATATGTATTGCTTTACAGACACGTGGAGTCACGCACTGTGCCTGTTTGCTTCTTTTTGTGACTGTGACTGCTAGTGTTTCTGGTATTTTCTCCTTGTTGGGGTGTTCCTTGTCCGGAATAGCTATAAAAATATATATATATACAGTTTATATACACAGTATATGCCATGTACACAAAAGTGCAAATCAGAAAGCACATATATATATATGCCATATACAAAAGCGCAAATCAGAAAGCACATTGGGGCGTACTGTGCCACCATGCTTTGATGCATACAAAATGCAATCATTTGATATACTATGCGGCATACTTCAGTAGTTGTTTGAACGGTCAATGTCAAGAACGTGATCAAAGAATCCCACTAGGTGTGATAGACCGACAGTTGTGGTCGAATGGCAAGGACGTGGCTAGCAGTCTGGAAGTCTATCCGCACGTCTCAAGGCTATGTCCATTGGATGTTGCCGGAACTGCTCAGATCGATGGCGCTGAATTTCAGGAGTTGCTCAACTGCCCCTTCGCCAAAGCAGGAGTTGTGCAATGTGGTTCAAAGAACATGAACCAAAGGGAAAACTTTGAGGTTTTCAACTGAAGTATTAGGAGTACCAGGATCTGTGCAATGGTCTCAATACACAACATGGAAACCTGAGGCTTAAACATGAGGTGGACCACCATGAACTGTTACCTTTTGCCTCAGCCTCTTGCTGCTTGCGAGGTCAAGGGCAAGTGCCCGTCGTGAAAGCGCTCCTTGAGATGTTGCCCAGTCGCACTTTCGGTGATTGCTACTTTATCTCATGACTGTAATTATTGCACATCACGCAAGTTGTAGTTTCCTAGACAAATAGGCTCAGGACTCAGAACAGAAGTGACCATTTTTCATCACCAGTTATCACAGATGATATACGTGGACATGTAATTCCCTTTCAAGCAGGACATTTGCTCATAGTAGCTTCTTGTTACTAGTAAGGATGCTCCTAGTAGTACGGCCAGGAGCCCCTAGTAGTGTCCAACGATGCCAGGAGCCCCCAGTAGTTTCTTGTTCCTAATAGTAAGGCCAGGAGCCCCTAGTAGAGTCCTTGCTCCTAGTAGCGGTGCCCTTTGCTCCTAGTATTAACACAGACTTTCGGCCGATTTCGGCTGCCAGGTACTGGGCTTGGTTGCCACGATGTCCATGGCGCAGTCCGCTGGATGGGCCGAAGGGGCCGGCGGATCACGCGAGGTCCTCCGTGATCTACGACTTGGCGGCGGCCACGATGCTGCCGGCTTCTTGGATGATGCTTTTGATGCTACTAGGGGCTCCTGGCCTTACTACTAGGAGCAAGGACGCTACTAGGAATTCTTTGCAACATTGAAATGACGCACATGATCACACATTCTTACAAGATGAGCTGTGCAAACCCTGAAATGGTGGGCTGATAGGTTTGGGGACTGAAGAGGCCTATGACCAAGGTCTACTGAATCCACTGGGGGGTTCAGTTGATGGGTGCTGGACTGGCAGCATGCAGCTGTGGATTCCACAAATGGTTCTTTGGGCCATATATATATATATATAAACCTCTCCTTCCTTCATGGTGTCCCTGGCAGCGTGAGGGACTGCGTTTAGGTATTGTACCTGTTTCACGCTTTGTAACAGGATTTGTCGGGCCATATATGATTTACCAAGCATGGAATACCTATTTTCTCTTCCAACCTCTTGAAGGAGAAACAAGCAGAGCCACCGATATAGGCGCCCTTAAGGTGCGTGGATAAGTACTTCGGAGTGAACTGCAGACTCTTTGGAGCCACAGGAGCCACATGGAGCTACTGTCTTTTGAGCAAACTCCGCTAAGCTCTTCTTGCGAGCTTGCTTTATTGTTACTAGTAGCGATGCCCTTGTTACTAGTAGTAATGCCAGGAGCTACTATATAGTAGCTTTTATTCATGTTGAGTCCTGAGGTCTATTCGAGCGAGTTCATGGAGCTTCGCGAGGTGAATCTCACCATCGACTCACAAGGCTTCACACACCCAGACGGACGGGGTGGATGGCCAATGGTGGCAGGGGTCTCCTGGCGGCGGCAGATGGAGTGGGAGAAGACGGTGGTGCAACTGTTATGTAGCTTGGCAGCTATTCAGCTACATTTGCGATTCGGCTGTGAATATTTCAAGTGGGTAGGGTTCTTTTGAAGCCTCGTGCACAAAGAGAAGAAGCTGTGGACCAGAGATCAAGAAGGGGTGTGTTCAAAGCACGCTAATTACGTGAGACGGTTCCCGTGATTCTTACTGTCATGTTTTCTCACTTTTGGTTTGGGCTTCAAGGCACTCGAGGTGCTGCAGCCAAAGTGATCCTTTGATCCTCAAAGCATGGCTGATTGCTTCGCGTCAAAAGTCCGACTGCCTTGTTCCAAGTGGATGCAGGTACAGAGTTTCGGCACGAACACGAGCTCAAGGTAATGATGCCAATCGGTAGGTAGACGATCGTGGCCATGTATAGTTGTTTTTTGGTTTGCTTTGGTGGACACTGCCTTTGCAGTCCTGCGTTTTTCTTCACTGCTTTGCTAGGATCAAAACGATCCTGACGCAACTGCACTGGCATGCATCTCAGAGGGGCTTCTTAGATTCTCATTCAAGTGTGCCACCAGACGTGTTAAGACTTTGACTGGACTTGGACTTGATCCAAATGACACAAGAATTTGGACATTGTTGGCTTGAATGTTTTTGGTAGAAGTCTAAAGGAGTAGCATAGAGCAATTCACACCCGCGGTGCAGGTGCAGGAAATCTCATTTGTTGTGCTGTGGCAGAGCGTCAAGCTATGTAATGCCATGAGCAACATGTGTTCCAAGCATTTACGCCCTGCTGGTATATTTTACGTTGCTACTTCATAAAGTGTCTTGATGTATCTTGAACAGTCATGCTTCCCACGATCCCCTCTCCATGTGCAAAGAGCTCCAACTCTATATACTACTACATATTATATATATATAGATATAAATATATGGACCAAGAATAAGGAACACCCTCTACAAACCTGTATAATGGCAAGGTCACCCAATATGATGATCCTGGGAACTGGTAGCCCGTACCAAGCTGGGACACGCTGCCTTTGATCGTGCTCAGATCGAGCGTGTGGTGCCCATCATATACTCTTGATGCTATGGAAGAGGATGAATGTATTCATTGGAGAACCCTAATTAACTAGTTTGCTGGAGTTTGCCACGGATTCTTCATTGCCAGCTTTTTAAGATTACGACGCAGAAGTTGCTGATACTTGCCGCACGATATGTTCGTTGTTCCCTGTGTCTTGAACTCCAGCAAAAGGTTCTCCATAAGCGCGCAGAATTCTTTATGGCCAACTGGCCAGAACAAGAATCGCAGGTGATGGCAAGCCTTTGCCATTCATTTAAAACAGTGAGCAGAGAGCTTTGCTTGGCCAAACATTCTCATGTTACATTCTTGGTGGAAGAGCCATGTGTTTGTGTTCGCTACTTCGGCTACTTGACTGTATCCCATTCAAATAGACACTTACAGTACAATACTCATACTCAGTGGTGCCCTTCATTCATGTTGATGCTTCATGATCCTCCACCACGTGATTTTTGCTTGAAAATACCAGTTCTCAACTCAGCTCATGTCAACAGGCGGAAGCGGGTAGATGCAATGTATGATCCGAATCCCTAACTCATGTTCCAAAATATATAGAATGAACCCGGTCCCATCTCCCTTATCCTTTATGAAGGCTCCCACAATGGCAAGGCACGGAGACTTACCTAGTCATAACAACATGCTGTGTGTTTAGGAACACCAGCTCTACTTTCAAGACATCCTATTTCAAGAGGCTCTCGACCATGTTCCGTGTTCCTCTCGGGTATTTTGCTGCTGAAAGGAGGCAGCGATTCCACACCATGAAGTCTGCGGAAGAGGGGAAAGCAAAAGGAGACTGACTGGCATTTTGTCATCTACAAGTCAATAGCAAGGTTGTCGTGTGCTGTAGAATCAGAAAGCTTGTTCTTCATGTGAGTTGTGAAATGTCTTTTTGGCCCGAATGTATTGGTGCATGCGCATTCCGTTGCCATAGCCGTCTTTTTCAGCTTGGCCCTGTTGGGCGTGGCCCCGTTTTGCGGGTCTGGCACCTGGGGTGCAGGATGGCATGGGAAATGGGCGAAAAGAGAGCGGAGAGATTTGTTCAGGCATTCGGCTCTCCCAACTGTTTTGGAGCGAGCGCCTTTGATGAACCATATTACCAGCTCCAAGTAGGGCCGAATCCTTCTGAAGAGGTCGCCAATCAAGTATGCCACATGTATTCTACTGATTCCTGTCCTATATACCGGCTGTGTGAGCATGTTTTGAACCGTTTGGGTGTTTCAATTTCCTACATAACATCCAGACTCCAGACTGCAGGGTGTTCTGCTGGGCTATCGCATCCGGTGGGTTTCGGTGGATGCTCCAGGCTCCAACTCCACATGGCTCCATTGCCACAGCTACACTCCGACGAACACGTCACATGGAAGTGGAAAATGGAAAATGGTCTCTTGGAAGACTACTTTCCTTTACGAACAGGTGGTTTTCCACTTCCATGATGGGCATAAACCTGTGCAGCTAAGTTGACGCAAATTGTGCGTTCATAGTAGTGGAGGGGTGTGATGTAGAACAGGTGAGCTTAGATGTCTAGGGGTCCCCAAATCTTGTGCAGAGCATTCTGCGCAGTACTACTGATACACCTGATAGAAGAAATCCTGCATCACCCTTCCCTGTAGACAAACTTCCCTTTTGCATGTCGTGGACCTCCAGGGAAGCCACCAATGGCGACGCGAACCATCTTGCAGTCGCACTTTGGCTGCTATTGGAGTGCTTTGCAGATCACAGGTCACTCTATGTTCTTGTGCAAAGTTCGGACTGGACTCAACAACTTAAAACTCTTTGTTAGAGGGTAGAAACACTAGTGGTGAAAAGGCGGTAGGTTTCTCAAGTAATGCCCGCATGAATTTTGGAACTGTGTGTCTATGAGGGAAGTTGTGCGGACAACTTGCACTTTCGCACAGACGTTTGTTGTATATACTTTGGTCCATCAAGTCTTTGTTTGCAAAAGCCCAACAATCTCCAGAGAAAGCATGTTGCTTTCGAGTGTTTGTCTTGCGTATGCCTAAAGCGGGGGGGCTGCTTGACACTCAGGAATCGGGCCTATGATCATATTTACGTGGCAGTCTCAGTGCAGATCGAAAGGCCAATCCTGTCAGCTCTGAAGAGCTTCTGGTGTGACCAAGCCAAAAGCTCGAGTAAAGGCAAGTTGGGGTGGCACCTACTGAAGGCCAAATGGATCATGGCAAACTTGGAGCTGGTTCTGTGAAAGGTCGCAAGAGATGCAGAACTGAAAAAAGACCAAGGGCTGCCAATGAAAGCATTTTTTGAGTATGCTGCAATACTTATGTCATTTGATGTCCCACTTCCGCATGTCCAACCTGGTGATTTGCTCTCTTTGAGGATCCGACCTATACGACGTCTCACCCCAATGATCATTACAGGCAGACGAGCAAGGCGCTAATTTGCGGGTTTGCGCTGCTTTGCGCTGCAACTGCTCATCTTCCCACTTGAAAGTGATCATGACTGTTGGGGATTTAGATTGCAATGAATAGAGGCAACATGAAACAACAGTAATATGAGATAATGGATGCTAGTGGCTGACCGAGCCAATTGCAGCCAAGTTTACGTTTTTTCGTCAGGACGAAGGTTCGTTCTTTTCTTTAGACCTTTAGACCCTTTTTTAAGTTTGACCCTCGCTCGTGTTTACACTGCTCGACTCCGGACAGCTTCAGTTTGGGTATGTAGCTTGCAGATTTTCGGGAGGATTGCAATTTTGGAGTACTGTAGGCCCGTGAGTTGCCAACCCCGCTCCCACTTTGTCCACTCGACCTTTTTGTTTTGGTCCTTGCATTAACCATCACGCAGTCACTTCCGTGAGAATAACAACAAATAATACCATGGCGTGTAAATAGCATAGTAGAGGATCTTTATGTTCGGCAAGACCTTGTGTGATAAGTCACATCGGGGGCCAGGCGATGTTCAATGCCCAGCGCATTGAGCGAGCATGGAGCTAAGCAGAATTAACGGAGCTGAGCAGAGCATCTTCATTCAGTGAGCATTGTAAGCATCAAGATGTTGCTGTACCACAAGTGGTGAAGAAAAGGCTTGCTGCCAGACATGTCATAGAGCACATTAGATAGTGCAGGAGAGTGCAAGGTCCAAATTATTGTGGTTCATAATATGGAAGGAAGAACCTGCTGTATGAAGGCCCTCAGTGACTTGATCTCATTACCAGTCTTGCTGCAGCTGAGGTGCCCGATGACAAGTACATGTTCTCGGAGCTGCCTCACTATCCTAGATGTACCATTCAGGTGCCTGAAGTTGCTTAGCTTCCAAGAAGGGTGAGGATCGTTTTCACACACCAACAACATCATCACTGGGGCAATGCGAAAGCAGGTGCCTAATCTGGATGATGGTTCTTGATTCTACACGGTCGATAGTCTTGCACCTCATCCATGTGAAAAGGACATGTCAGACACCGTAAGCCTCACCGCTCGATGGCATCCTTTTGCCCAAAGCGAGCGTGAACCCTGCGGCTCGGCCGGTCTTCGAGGGCGTCCGGCTATGCGGTTGGGTCGGAGGTGGCTGGGCTTGCAGAATATGGGCGTCGAATCTCATCAAATCTCCTGACTCATCAGGGACGTTCAAGTATACTTGCTGTGATGTTTCAGCAAAACATGTGGCCTGTTTTCCTTTAAGTCTGTGTGTTTGGTTTTAGAGTCTTGAGGAGAGACAGTCTTGAGAAACTGGACACGGAGCGTCATTAGACTGACAAGGCAGCACATGAGATTAGTCAGATTAGTGGCCTGACTCGAGCATGAGAAAGGTCAGGTGGCTTTTGCGTTGCAAACTCTAAGCAGCGGCAGGATCCACTTTTTCAAGACTCCTTGCTAGAGACAAGTGTCGTGGTGTCATGGCATTGCTTCTTTCTGCCTCACGGGTTCCAGGCGTGTGATCCCTCTTTTGGGGCTTTTGCTCCTTGCCTTTGGTTCCTGGAGCTTTGTGGGCGGCATCCGACCGCAGATGAGGCCGGATTTGTGGACCGTGAGATTGTGAGAGGCCAGAACGAACCCTACCAGGCCCTAGTTTGGAGTTGGAGATTAGGTTGGAAAGGTGGCACGGAGACTCCAAGAGTTGTGCTCCCCGCCCTTCGATTCCCACCCATGTATAATCATGCTATATATATATATGTGTATATGCATATAAGTCCTTCAGAGCTTCAGTTTCGGCTTGAACATGAGGCCGGGCTTGGAGATGGGTGCTGAGAAAGATGAGAAACCAGCCCCAGAGAAAAAGAGTCGCATG